GTAATTGCAAATCTTGTACATATATAGAATGAGAGAGAAAGACAAAAGTTGGGATCTGGGATTACTGGTAATAGAAAGTGAAAGTAAAGGGGGGGGGGTGAGGAGATATATGTAGAAAGGGAGAGAGGGAAAAGAGAAAGAAATATATATATATAGAGAGAGAGAGAGAGAGAGAGAGAGAGAGAGAGAGAGAGAGAGAGAGAGAGAGAAAGAGAGAGAGAGAGAGAGAGAGAAAGAAAGGGGGATACAAAATACAGATGACAAGTAGAAATTTAGAGGAAGGCAAACAGAGATAGAAAGTGATAGTACAGAAAAGTGAGAAAGACAGAATGCAAGTAATTGCAAATCTTGTACATATATAGAATGAGAGAGAAAGACAAAAGTTGGGACCTGGGAGTAATAGAAAGGGAAAGTAAAAGGGGGAGATATGTATGTAGATAGACAGATAGTAAGGGAGAGAGGGAAAAAGAGAAAGAAAAAGAGAGAGATAGAGAGATAGAGAGAGAGATAGAGAGAGAGGGAGAGAGAGAGACAGACAGACAGACAGAGAGGGAGAAAGAAAGAGAGATATATATCGGTAGGTAGTGATTGAACGAGAGAAGGAGAGGGAGAGAGGGAGAGAGGGAGGGTGAAAGAGAGAGAGAGAGGGAGAGAGAGAGAGTATTTCTCCCAGGAATTGTTAACTAGTTTAATTTGTTCTTTTCTATATATGTTCAACTAACAATTTTGATATCATTTACATAAAAATGAAATAATGAAAGTGAAAATGAAATCCAAACTACTCATGCTATAATTCATGTCCATATTAGAAAAAGAAAACACAAGTTTACTCTAAATACTGAACAGTTTAATCACCATTTAAAAGAGCAGGGGAGTGAACACTTTTTTTCAATCAAAATGGCAAATTAAGCCTTTGAACATGATGAATCAAACACTATAGATGTTGTATCTAGCAATTGAATCTGACATTTGAAAAAGCGTTCACTCCTGGGCCCACTTGAATAGTTCATTTTTTTAGTGTTCAATGTTAAATCATTAGCCTGAAGACTAATCAGTCAATTCAAATTTCATCAGTTCTGATGGTTAATAGATTACAAGATTAAGGAATCCATCATTTATCATTTCAAATTGATTGGGTTTGTATATATTAACAAAGTGAAAGTATCAATATCAGTTCATCTAACAGATAAGTAGGCCTATGATATATATTAAAAAAGTGAAAGTATTGATAACAGTTCATCTAATTATTCTTCAATATTTTCAACAGTGGTCATAACAATAGGGCCTTCGTGTAGGCAGACTTCCTAAATACATGGTTTCAGTTTTATAACAGAGTGCTTCTCTCAGCTTTGGGATATACATCCATTTCCTATTCCAAAGCCACACAGATAATGAAAGAGGAAGTGTACATAGGTTATAGGTATATTTTGGTGGGCGTTTGCGAAACCAAAGAAACCAAAGAAAACAAAGAAAATCAACAGAGGTAAATTTCTCTTTTAAAGGAAATTCCAACCCAAATAGACAACTACTCTGAAACTAAATGAAAGCATAACAATCAGAGAAGCAAAATGATGAAATTTTTCATTAAATCTGACTAAATATAAGAAAGTTATGAATTTTTGAAAGTTGTAATCAATACGTATGGGCACTTTCCCATCTGTTCCAACACATGATATGACTAAAATTTAAATTTTTCAAAAATTCATTGCTCAGGAGGAGCTATTTTTTTTAGAGGACCTATAATAATATGATATCTATAATATATTTTGAGTAGTGCCCCAAGGGAGAAGGAATTTAGAAGAAAACAGGAATTAGAGGTGTTGTGGTCGAGTGGATACGTCACCGGACTGTCGATCACAAGATCCACGGTTAGAGTCCCGCCGCGGCACTTATGTCCTTTGGCAAGACATCGATCTACAATTGCCACACTCAACCCAGGCGAGGTAAATGGGTACCTGGTAGGATTATTCCTTGAAATGCACTGTGAGCTGATAAGGCTGCCGGAGCTAAAGCTAGGGTAATAATTTGCAAAGCTCTTTGGAAGCGCGTAGAGATGATATTTCATAACGTATTATGCACTACCGGTATACAAGAACTGAACTATTATTATTATTATTATTATTAATGATATTTGTGTACACAGCAAATGGGAGAGTTATCCACGTCCTACGTCACAATCCACTGATCGAATTACCAATTTGAGATTCGCTTAGATGCAGTGAACTCATATTTCAAAGATTCATAACTTCCTTACCATTGGTTGATTCATTTCAAACTTTTGCCATTCTGTTTCTTTTATTCTTCTGCTTTCATACAAATCAACATATTACAAGGGCTATGTTGTTCTTTAAATATTCCCTCAATGCCTGGAATTCCTGTCAAAGATCACAGGAGGCTTTGCTACAAAACAGGAACATTAGACCAATGCAATTATAGATGAAATGAATGGCAACCTAAGCGGACATCAGACAAAATGATGATTAAATTGTTAATGATTCTTCCTTTTTTCTCTCATCTTCAGATAATGGCAGACAGATAATGGCAGACACACAATACAATCAAAAATCAATTTCTTCAACAACTTAGGAAAGCCCTCAGGAAAAGCAAGCCTGTCTGTGTCTGTATTTGGTTACCTCTTCCTTCTCACTTCCCTTTCATTGCCATTGGCTGAATTTTTTTCCTGCACTTTAAAAAATTAGTTTCGATGTTGACTGACTTCCTTTAAAAACCCATACAAGGATTTCCTGACACTTTGGGACAATGAAGCAGTGCTTGATCTAATGGCTCACTTAACTCACTTATGTTTGAAGAAGTAAAATGTCATTGAAACGTTAATACAAAATGGAATTAATCTTCTTTGGTTGAGAGACAAACAACTCAAGTATGTTGGCGCCATGATATCATACTATTGAATCTTAAAACAAAATGGTTATTGATTTATTGCTGTTCAAGCAATATTTTGTCCTTGTAATCAATCATTATGACCATACAGTACGCACTTCATAATTTTGTTTTGTCTTACTTTTTTACCTTCTTGCAATATATAGTGTAAGTGTCTGCTGATCGAGAACCAGAATGGTGTAAACTTACAGCAACTAACATAATATATATATATTGCTATTAGATTTAATACCTTTCTGGCCCTCAGCATGTTCATGTAGTGTATGTCAAGTTTGATGTATATAGGCCTATGAAACAACCGGTAATGACAGTAATCCGAGGAGATAATCTCCATTTGATAAAGTGCAGTTTCACTATACAAGGCCATGTAGATTTCATCTTCATTTTCTCTGAACTTTAGCCTGCTCTGGGTTTGTTTGTGCCGGCCGAATGTGAACTAAACTATGAAATAATAAAAAATATATACACAGACAAAAAAATCGCAAACATACAGTCACAGGCAAAAGGATACTCTCAACATACTAATTTGTTTTTCATATTTTTATTAATATGATGATGCTTATTCCTATAATAAAAATGTTTCCTGTGTTGATAATGTGAGTAATGAAGGGCATTTTTTCCTTCTAACCCCAAGGAAAATATTGATATTATGGTCAATGCATTGATACATTCCATGAAAAGGCAAATTCACAGGAGGCATATACATGAGCAGTTATATTTTATCATAGGAAGTTCCATCGCAACTTCTGCAGGTTTTCAGAAATGAGTACTGGTGGTCCTATACAAACCTGAAAGTATAGTACATGGTGATATCACAGAATATTGGTATCTTGAAATTATCAGATTTCTAATGTATTTCATTTTGTTTAAAAAAAATATACTTTCTTGATCTTTTTCAATTTTTTCCTCTTCTTCTCCTAAACTTCCCCACCTCCTTCTTAGCATTATTCTTTTCTTCTCCCCCTCCTCCCTTTCTTTGTGTCAGCGTCTTCTTCTAGTTTCCATCCACCCGTCTTTCCTTTTATCCTTCTCTCTTCTTCTTCTCCAATATGTTCTTCTTTTTCTTCTTCTTCTTTTTCATTCTCTTCTTCCTATTCTTTCTTATTATTTGCTTGTCATCACAGCTAGAGATGTGTAGCCTCTACTAAAATCTTAGATAGACGTCACCAGTTCCTCAAATTTCTTGCATAGATGCAACGATGATACTTGATTGTTTCTGCAGGTGATGCAATAAAATACATGTATCTGTTGGGAGAATATCACTGCAAGTCCGGTGGTAGGGCCAGTTTTGATTTGATCATGGGACAGTAACTTAGATCTCCCTATGCTGCTCCAGAGACGACCAGCCATGGATCCTGATTGCTGGCCAAACAAATAATGTGTTGTGGTATCTGTTCATATTAAAAAAAGCCTTTCATGATTTGCAAATGACTGATACTAAGGGGGAGGGGGGGGGGGGAGGGGGGGAGGGGTTCAAGAAATTTGGGGCCAGGTGTGTTGAGCAGGCACGTAATTTGCAAGATCGGTTGAACTTTTTTAGACCCTTTTTTTTTACCTTGATCGATTACATGTATGTGCCTTCCCAAACATCAAACTCTGGCTACGTGCCTGGTGTTGAGGCCCCTATGTCCCCTCAACAACTGCTACAGAGGAGGTCAAGATGTACAAAATATATATTTCGTCCGTTTGGAGCCAGATCGGTGTTCACTACGGTAAAATGTATGAGATAATTCCCTTCTAAAGTTCTGGCTCCATACAGACGATTTCAATTCTGGCTATCCTAGGCCTAGTGGGGGTAGAATGGAACCAAATAATAGGTCGTTTAGAATCCCAGACTAAATTATAAATGTTAGTGGGATATGCATGTTGCCATACCGGTAATCCATTATCATTATCAATTAAACAGTGCTGCTACTTAGTTTGTCCGTAGAAACTATTTTCATACACATTCATATTGCTGGGTTAAATTCAGCAAACAACAGTAAAATTCCCCACAAATTTGACCAAATTGTTAAAAGTAGAACTATAAGAGATTTATATTTGCATAAGATAATGTGCATCAAGTTACTGTAAAAACACTGGTGTTTCAATATACTTACCAAATGGACGCAGCAAAACAGAATGGCTATCCAAATATACATGTTTAAGAGCCTTAGAAGTCTATTTATTCGCGTGGGTGAATAACTATTATGCACGCCATGTTTTTTGTGTTCTGAGATGCGAGTCCTCCATTTGAAATTGAAGTTTAACCATAAAATCGCCATTGCACGTACATCCAAATCTACGAACATCCAACCAATTGTCACCCGGCGATGCAGGCGCGATGCCCCACAAAATTCACAGGCAAGCTCCAACTATAACGCCTTCCACGCTGATCTCCGTACAACTCGTCTTTCGTTTGGAATTATAATATGCCATTCGTAATAATCACTTTCTTGCGAGTGTTTTAAACCAATATCCAGATGTATCAGAGGACGAAACAGTTGTGGTATTCAGTATTCACCTACAGATAAAATGTGATTTACCCTCGGCCATGGCGCGGATACCAGCGAGACTAACCTTAAAAGTTTGAGGAAGTAAATGTGCATGAAAAGTCCCGATCACAGCAAGCGCGGAAGATTGCACGGACTTGTCCGATCAAGGTCCATCGGTATTGATTTGGGGAAACTCCCTTCGCTTGAAATGACGTCATGACCACTCAGAATTTGCTTCTGCACGATTGGACGAAGCTTTCGGATGGGAATCCCCTGACATCCAATGACCCCTGTCTTGATACCTGGAAAGTCCGTGCCATTCCAATATGAAAAAGTTTTTCTTCTTATTAAAGAAAAAGCTGAGTTATGGTACATGATAGAAAAAATACTCGTAAGTTTTCACATTATGTGTAGTCCTATGGCTATATAGTATAGGATTTCCGGCCAAATTCGCGTGTTTGTCATTCGAATTCATTTAACTTGCATTTTAGTTAGCGCAGATCGGCTTTGCCATGCCAATTATCATTCAATTTTCCAGTTTTTGTATTTAATTTAGGATTTTGGTCAGAAGGTTTCATAGATCTGTCATTCAATTTAGAAACTGCTCAACTAGCATTGAAATTAATATTCACTTGTCGAAGCGTAGTTTTTATCATTCAAATTAAGACCTGTCATTCGTATTCGTAATATTTTTATTCAAGTTAGGAATGTTAGGGGGAAGAATTGCAACAAACTTTTACAGTTTTTATATAATGCAGTTAAAATGCATGATTTGCCATAGGGGTCTAAGCTGTTATTCCATTTATTTATTTTCAGGACAATGCAGATTGGTGTAGTCAGACATAAAGTAAAGAAGAGGCGAAATCAAGGGATATGGCATTTCTGGACGGACATGTTCATATACCCGGGAAAGGTGGGGGTACCCTCAATCGCCCCTTTTTACTACAGACTCGGAATTTTACAAAATTAATTCACATCGTCTCTTATACCCAGCACACCCCTTCTGTTTTTCGTAAAGAGTTTCATAGTTTACTTGCCCGCCAGCAGATCGATGGCTAAAGATATGGCTAAATAATGAATCATGTTCAAATTGTTGACTCTAGCCCCTACCCCAGTCACAATATTGTACTCCTCTTCCATAATGAAATAATGATGAAATTATGATAAATTTATGATGAAGCATAAGACAAAAAACTTCCTTACATGAACATTTACAAATATACTGAGACTATCAGGTCCGTAGATGCAAGTCGTTTTTTTCTTCTTAACAATCAAACTTAAATGCTGATGAATATCAGATAAATCTAATAAGCATAAGAGTATAAATACAAGTAAATGAAATATGATGAAATACACATGAAAACAAAAAACAAGCTTGAAAGAAAAAGAATGAGCTATAAAAAGTGTGTAATAAACGAGAAATGTATATTGACCATCAATTTAAGTGCACAAAGTGTTAATTTGAATGCTACAAATGAATTAGAATGCCAGAAGTACACCGTCGCGTTGTCAGAAAATCGTGTTGAGCCAAATCGAATGACCAAATAGCGAAAGAAGCACATTGTTCATTAATTTAAATGAAACATACGTAGATTCTAACGAAAATTCCATAGATTTGAAAACTAGAAAAGGGATTATAAACCCGAGATATACCTGACTGCACTAAAACCGTCGAATTTGAACGCAAGACAAATTAATTTGAATGACAAATTCGCGAATTTGGCCGGGATATCATGGGCCTATAGTGAAATTATTACACATGTAGTAATTATGGGCAGTCCATGTGGTTTTTCAGCGAGAATACGAGTGAGAATTATGATTGGGTGGAATGTACTATCGTCTATTGTACATATCACCTCGTATGTATTCGTCAGATTAGACAAATAATTTCTAGGTGGTATGTACGAATTAACTATTATATCTAAAAAATAGGAATGTCATTTTCGTTCAAAATTGGCACAATAGTAGACCCTATTGAGGACTGGACGCACCAAACTTTTCAAGGTCATTTGCATAATTTTACGTCATTGTAAATTTCGCATATCTCAATTTTATAACCAAATTGCATAACACTTTCACATTTCATATCATGATAATTCAACTTATTACGCAGCATATCAACATATTTATTTTTAATTTTGCTCGTCGGCAATATGAAAGCTAAAAAAAACAACCATTAGAACCCACATGATTTGAGTTCCTGATCCTATTCTGGATAATTCTTACCCATTGCTAGACCCTTTAGATCCAATTCCGATACGCGCACACGTAAAACCTCGAGCAAAATTGCCAAATTTAAATCTGCTTATAGCTCCTCAGAATGGCCGGTGACCCTCATTTTTTAAAATTACATATTCTGAAATGGTTTGAAGTGTAGATGTGATGCATCATATTTACTTAACAGAGGTTATGATGTCATCATATCAGAATTCAAAGTAAGATTTTATATTTTCAATAGTCTTTTGACCATTCTCGCTTGTTTCTACCCAATTTTCTTCAAAATGTCAAAATATGGTAGCTGAGAATTGGCGCTGCAAGCAACGTCCATTTATTATTCATTTAGACAATGGGATCATAGTTGAAATTTTAGAAATAAGGATACAATTAAGTCAAAATTTGCCTATTCTATGAAACAAACAAACATTGATGTGCTACATTATACTACGAAAAAAGGGTTAGAAGTAATAGTGTTATGATGCTCAACGAAGATTAGGCAAGATGCATTTAGCCAACGAGTCATCAATGACTGGAACACACTTCCTGATGAGGTAGTCACTGCTACCACGGTGAATGCCTTTAAAGCCAGACTGGATCGAGTATGGAAGGACAAGCGTTTCTGCTCCCCATATGAGTAGAATACCCGACGCAGAACTGAGCCAGATAAACTTACCAAGATAAAGACACACAACTACGAGAAGGAAGAAAATGAAATTGAACTGGAAGCCCGACTGCTGAGAACACAGCATTCTTCCAGAATCTCGGGTAAAGGTAAAGGTATGACATGATGACAGTAACACAATGGCACATAATATAACTTCATTATAATCTTCAAATGAGTACGTACCACCTATACTTGTACAAGCTACAAATATAATCTCCTAGTTTTTTCCCTTCATTTTGTTCATTCAACCCCCGCCCACCGATAGATATAAATTCTTACTTACTAAAAAAAAATATCGACCTTTACCAATAGTTTCAAAAGTTTCTTTTACACTTTAATTACATTTAATACCAATATTCGTATTTATCTTTATTCATTTGAATACGAATAACATTAGTAGATCAGGGGCCCGTCTTATACAGATTTGCGATCGATCCGAATCAGTCGCACGCCCCAAATCAATCGCAAGGCTGCAGTCCCATATCTCTTATGTACGTAGTTATGATTGGAATCAATCGCAAAAAAAATCCCTTCTAAGAAGCATCCCTTTCCATCTCTGATGAGTGCCCATTTTTAGGTATGAAAAATACAACTTTTCAGCTCTAATTAGTGCTCCTTTTACTATGACAAATGCGCCTTTTCCTGTTTTATAAGTGCCTTTCCTTTTTTGATAAGTGCCTATTTTCCCTTTCTAGTAAGTGCTCATTCCCCTCCTTATAAACGACCCTTTTAATTTCTATTGTAAGTGCCCCTTTCAAATAAACATAACAGTAGTCCTCGTTACTTTTGATGTAATTACCCTTTGATGAGTCCCGCTTTAACCTATATTTTCCACTGTCACCAACAAATCGTGTCCTTTTGCGGTCCTCTAAAGAATGAGCCATATCTAGTTTCAAAGAATTTAGGCAGCTTTGTGTATTAACAGGAATATTTTGTTCCTACCACCACAGTATGTACCACCTATACCAGGAAAAGTTTGCAAGTATCATCTCTGTTCCCCCTTCTTTTTATTTAGATCATTCACCCCCATCTCCCAATATGAATTTAACCCTTCCAAATTGTTTTAAAAACTTTCTTTCACAATGTGATTGAATGACCAGTAATCGTATTTGTCCTTATTTATATAAATACAAATAACTTTAGTAGAACAGGCGTGTGCATTTCTTTGTAGATGTTTCATAATGATGTGAACACAATTTTAACCATCCAGATGAATGTATCTATGGTAACAAGATTTCAAATCAAACAGGGATTTAAACAAACAGGGAAGTCACGAGAGGAGTATCCTTCGAGGAAATGATCCGTAACTTCACCGAAATGACCACAAATATAGGCTAGGCCTACTATTCATTTCCTTCAAGAACAATTTTGCTGAATTGAACTTTTCACCCACCACGTTGAGGGAATGATGAGCAGTACATCAGATAATAATGACGTAATATTACTTGGATTAAAAATACAGCTTAGTTTAGAACAGTGGCGGATCTGTGGTGGTGGTGGTGATGGTGGGGGGTGGTGGTGGTGGTGGTGGTGTGGTGTGTGGGTGTGTGTGTGTGTGTGTGTGGGGGGGGGGCACAGAAGTATGCCGCCCTCCCCCAAAAGAGGAAACACACTAGGGGAAATGTCTTTCTTTTCGTTTGTCAGTCAATTTGCAGCCAAATCGGCATACACATTATACATACGAATTACCTTTTGTTTTGCTCGGCACAATAACATAATACAAAAATTGTACCCCCCCCCCCTCTCCCCCCTGCCAGAGATTCCTGAACCCACCGCTGTAGAAACCAAATATCACTTACAGTCAATTGAATGGCTCTTGGAGAAATAAAACAGGGGGTGGGAGTAGTGGTGGACCAAGGAATCTCTGGACCGGGAGTGGGGGGGGGGGGGGAATAAGTCCAAAAATTGTCACATTTTCAGGGGACCGTGGCTGCCACAGTCCACAGACCACAGACAGACACCACAAGTAGGCTTGGTTAAGTACATTGGCGGGGTGGGGGGGGGGGGGGGGCAGAGGATGCTGCCCCCCCCCCCTCAAAAAAAAAGAGGGGGGGGGGGGGAAATGCCTTTCTTTTTGTAAGCCCAAAAATGTTCACCTTTTCAGGGGACTTATATGTCTGTCTCAAAATTAGCTGCCATCGAGCACAGACAGATGGAGGGTATGTTTTGTTTTGTCGGTTCTCAGGTGTGCGATGCAGATGTCTGATTGTGTTTTGAAGGGGACGGGGTCACTTAATACATAGTCCAAGGTGTAGGACATGATCATTAGCGGAGTGGAAATTACTATTGCAACCCTACGACCAACCTTCTGCATTTAAAGAAATTAAAGCCCCTCTAAAGTGTTGGGAAACTCAATTCCCAAATAATTTGATTGCAAAATTTCACTTAAATTGTAGCATAATGTGAAAAAGGATATCAATTAAGACACACTTCTGCAATGATTCCCCCCCCCCCAAAAAAAAAAAAAATGTGTTTGAAGACAAATTTTGATAAAAGAATTCTTAATTTGGATTTTGCTGTTGTACGCAGAAAACCAAAATGGTGTATTCTTCCTCAAAGCCTTTCAGAAATGCGTCTTAAATGACATCCTCTTTCACATTATGATACAATTTTGCCATCAAATTTTGGGCTCCTAACACTTAAGAGGGGCTTTAAGACTGGACCCACCTAAGCATATAGTTAACAACTAATTTATTCATATCCTTTCCAGGTATCTTAATTTTTTAAGTATGTGAAAAGTTGATTTGTCCCCATTTATGTTTCTTCTGAATGTGACATATTAAAGCTTACACCTAAAAGTATTAAAAAAAGGACATAAATCAACCAGTCTACCTTTCATTTTTATTTACTAAAACACAGAGAAAAAAAACTGAAATTTACAAGGCGTATGAATAATTTAGTTGTTAATTGTACATCATATAACTTGGTATTTTTGTTTTAAAAAAAATGAATGTGAAATTTGAGTTTTAGTGATATGTACTTGCTTGTTTGTACGATACTTAGCACAGACTGCAAAAAAGATGCAAAGGATTGACACAGCGTATACTTTAGACTTTTATTTCTATTAAATTTGTTAATTTCACACAAGATACATGTATCAAATGTATCTATAAAACACCGACTGATACAAAATTGGGAGAAAATGGATCCAGGCAAAAGCCATGATACATGTGTTAGTTTCATGGACCTTGAAAAGAAAGTGATATCAAAATTATGCCATCAGACATGATCAATTTTATCTACCAAGAAGTAGAATGTGCATTACTCTTGACAGTTTAACAATAAACTTTTCACTAATGAATCCCACCTCTTCTGATTAACTACCAAACACTTACATAAAAGTACTGGCGTATAAGTCCAATTATACAACACCTACGTGAATCCCTGTCATTTGATTGGAGGATTGTTGGTCACATGATATTCAATAGATGGTATATTGCACGGTCGTGCATTTTTGGTTATATGCGCCGTGCATTTTTGGTTATATGCAGACTGCGTACCTCGATCTCTGCCGTGCGCGCGCGTATCCCTGCGTGTATCTGACGCGAAGGCAATCTGAATGTAATCGAGAAGGCTCGAATCCAACTTTAATTTATCTTTTATAAGGAGTAAAGCATAATTTGTTGATTGACGTTCTATTAGATCTTCTTCGATGTTGTATAAAACAAATAATGAATGTTATTCATTCGTTCAATGGTGCGAATATTTTCATTCGTTGAAAGATTAACATTAATTCTATTCAACTCGGCTGACGCCTCGTTGAATAGAATGTTAATCTTTCAACTCATGAAAATATTCGCACTATTGAACTCATAACCATTCATTATTTGTATACTATTCAATGATTTTAAAGTTCATAAATCCAGTGAAACAGTCTTCTATTTCCAAAATCCACAATACACTCAAGGTTTATGCAGTATACCATAAAGATTTGTCTATAAAAACTCATTAATGTAGAAGTAAAGATTTAATACTCAATTTCACAAGAATAATAATAGTCATGATTCACGTGTCAGCCCTAGCACACCCTCGTCCGTTTGGACTGATGAACTTTTGGACCATCCAATATTGTGTAGGCAGTAATAGCATAACTATACAGGCTGCTTACAAAAAATATTATATATTGCACAAGAAATCCACCTCTTTGAAGGTGGTTATCTTTATGAAACACATACCGTACTTGTCTCTCAAAATAAAGCTCAAAAAAGTTTTGGTTAGCCCCTCAAACTTTTAGTCAGGTTTCCTTGATTTCAGTTGATAAATAGTAATAATACCAACCAATGATTTCAAAGTGCTGTGAAGTATTTATCTCTTTAAGTGCAATACATGTATTGAACAAATGAGAGTTACAAAAGTAATTTACATCCTGGGCTAGGATGTAAATTTCCACTGCAAAAGATGTGTGTGAAATGAACTGGTAGCTGAGTGTGAAGAGCTTTTTGCATAACTCTATGAGAATGAAGAGGAGCAAGTTAGGGAAAGCTCATTGAGCGGTGTAGGGTTGAATTGGAGTTTATTTAAGAAATAAACCAAACATAAAACTTCATTGGAAATCATGGATGGGATTTCACATCTTATAATACAAGTTCAACCATATGAGACCATGTAACAATTAACCCAATTTCTTTTTAATTCTCTACGCTACCAGTACTGTAAATGAGCTTTAAAATATGGATATTTTCATATCACACTCCATAAGCAAATTACACCTTGTATTTCGTAACATGTTTTTATAGCACATACAGGTACTTGAATTACCACAAGCATGAGTAGACTAGCTATTACAGACCAACAGAAGGCACATAAGGTATTTGTTATAAATGTACAACAAAAGCACTTATAATGATAATCTTGCATGAAACGATGGGGGTAAAAGGCATATTCGTAAACATGTGGTGAAAGTTAACAACAAAAAGAGTTACATTGGAATAAATGGAATGTTTAACAAACCATAAAAAGAAGACTTTCTGTACAAACTCACAAACCTAAAGTATACAAGACATGGTGTTTTGAAAATAGACCAGTTAAAAACATATTCAAATTGTATGCATACTTTATGCAAAAACACCCAGCAAGGTTTGTGTAGTTGTAACCGATGAATAGCCCTAATTTTCATTTGGTATGACAATTATGTCGTTTTGTTCACAGGAAAGATAACATTCTTGTCAGATTACCGTCCTTGCTTTCAAATTACAGTAACCTGTATATAAAGACCACTTGTTTCCCTCGAACTGTCATAAAGACTGTCTTAGCTCTTCCCATTTCTATTCTTGGTCATAATCAAATACAATACTCAGATGCTAAGCATAAATGAGACAATATTTAACTTTTCAATGGACGTCCTTTCAAAATTAGACAGCGGCCATGAAAGGTGATTTGATTCAGTATTGCTCTCCTTCTTATGCTAACAAAGTACTACAAAAAACAAAAACAAGAAAACTGGAAATGTATTTCCATCGTCACAATTGTGCTCTGCATTACATGCTATGCATTGTATGCTAAGCACGCATTTAATGCTTAGATAAACTATCTGAATACCTTTACCCTAATTCTACTTGTTAAACTCTACTAAAGTACCTGTTTATCTACGATTCACAAACGCTTAAAAAAAATGAAAACACAAAATGGTTTCCCTTAAATCTACTCTTAATATGAAAATTCTCTACATGATATTCAAATTATGCCAAACTTTCCTCAAACTAAATTTTCAACTGGTTTTATGTAACTGAAAGAATTACCAACTAATCACAAGTTACAATCCATTGAAGCAGTCACTAGGATTACAAATTTCAAATGTTACAGCTGAAAATTGCTACATCTTCAAATCAAAGTCGACTTTCAGAATCAGGAATCCCACAACAGAAGGTCTTTAAATGTATTATGATTTTTTTTTAAACGGAGAATGTGAAAAAAGTGAAATTCTAGTCACTTTCCTATCTGCACAGTACAAAGTCAATGCAACATATGTACTGTTGTCCCACATGTATATATTCATCGGGGCATTAGAGCCCAAGTTTTAAAAAAAGTTTATGACTCAGGCCAAGTTGAAAAATAATGATAACAATAATGATCATAATAATAGTAATAAATCTGCATTTATATACCCCTTAATATATAAAATATCACCTCTAAGTGCTTTACACTGCTTTTACTGGACAAACAAACAAACGGACAGAGGGAGGGAGGGAAAGGGTCTTGATAATTCTTCTACAACTCTTCTTTTGGCAGCTTAGCTTTGAGGTAGGTTTCTAGCGCTTCCAATGTCCTGGTGCCAGAGTGTTTCTCCACCATCTCCCCGTCTTTAAAGAGAAGAAGGGTAGGGTAGCCTTCGATCTGTGTGGTAGGAAGATGCAAACAAGAAAGGAAAAGATCAATGATTGGGACTGTTCCTACACCGCTTGAATGAGAGGGGCACATTCAGGCACAAGTTAGAAGAAACGTAGGCAGATGGGTGACTGAGACCCAAAGTTGCAAATAAAAACATAGAATTTACTAAAAAACTTTTGAATGGGATCTGAAAACACCCAAATAATCCCTCTGTAATAAGTCCTGTGTTCATCAAGTAATATTATTATCATTTTTTTCCTCATGCCTCTAAGCATTTTATTGATTCACATCAAAGAGTAAAATTTTGATAATAATGATTGATGTTGAAGCCAAACTTTAATGTTTGTAGCGGGATATATTACAAGAAAAGATTTTCGAATATCAGTATGAATTGTTGTCAGTTGTGGTAAAGTTTAGGCTAACCAAAGTTAAATAACACATCAACAATTAGGAGAAAACAACCCTGAAAATCGCCAACACACATAGGTACATATGGAATAGCACTGCAGGTAAATTTTATAGTCCACATATTTCAAAGAATGGCTTTTTTGTGCTTATTACTTTGTAATTGACACATGTTCTTGCAGATTTATTTCAATATATGGAAATAAACGTTTATTGATGAACGTGTTGACTTCCATGAGAACATAATTTTAACCATTACTAGAAATCAATTACCACGACTGAAATAAATGATAAAGATTCTTACATGTACATATGTTTGACCCCCTTCAATTAAATTTCATATTCAGTCACCCCTATCTTACCGTACAGAATTCAATCAATTTGGCCTCAATATACAGAGATTGCTTTTAGAAACAAACAGTTTAGCATCACTTGCCACACATGCAACAAAGTGCATGAGAAGCATGTATATCATTTTTGTCTTTGTAAATGTAAGTTAAAATGTGTTCTTGTTTTATTGTTATTAATCTTGTTCATCTTATGAGTAATTATGCTTATACTTATGCTTTAAATTTTCAATCTAGTCCTGTTATACTCTCATTTTATCCTAATTTCAAATTTTCAGTTTCAGTTTCAATTTTTGTGTAGGTGGCAGCACTAAAAAGGCATTTCCTTTCTAGCTGGTATCCTCATTCTCATAAATACTCACTTTTCCCTATATTTTGTCCAGATTATCTATATGATGTATATTACATGTATATTGTATGATTATCTTTGTAATGTATGTTATTTTGTTATTTTATGTATGCAATATTGTATGTTATTTTATCTAAATGTTTTTTTTTATGATGAATGAAAAAAATTTGACTATCTATCTATCTATCATTCAACTTCTAAAGATTTTCCTGGTCTTTCATAATAGAGAGTGGTATCTTACAGCATGTTTCTTGCACAGAGGTTTCTCTGTCTCGACCGTACAGTCCACATTGCCGATAGTCACATCTTTCCTGCTATCAAACTTCTCAGCCAGTTCATCCCATACAGGTACTAGCTTCTGGCAGTGTGGGCACCTAAAACACAAGCAGGAAACCATTTTTTAATGTTGTATCATAAAGTTCAAAGTTGAAGAGGTGAAAGAGCACCTTTATGAACAAATTTGTATTTTAGTACTGTAAAAGTAGAAATTATTGTAACATGAAACTTTTGCGAATTGGACATACAACCTTTTCGAAGCATGAACAAAAAAAATCCCACTATATCAACAGCATGAGAAAGAAGTTGAATATCAAAGACTAACACGCAATTCGCTGATAATTGTAGTCAATACTCACTCCACTGTACAAGTAGCAATAGCGATAAGAGAAGGGAAATACAGGATGCTAGCGGCGAGAAAGTCGTTGATATGTAACTCTTGTTGTACGTTACCTGGTACTAGTATTGTCTCCTCCGACATTTTGATTATATTTATTTATTTATTTATTTATTTATTTATTTATTCATTTATTTATTATTTATCTTTTTTATGGGGGGATTATTAAGTGAAATTGCTTTAACTAATCAATATTTGATAGTAATTTAGACTATAAAAAAAAATATATCAGTAATTTCGATTTATGAAATGTTTAAAACTGAATTAAGTAAGTTTAATTTTCTTTTCTATAAACAGAATACAATTTGTATAAATTAATTGTCCTCAGTGTTACTTACCATGGTGCATAGAATTTTACAAGAGATGTGCCTTTTGCTGTCTGTGTCAGAAAATTATTCGTTGACAAAACCACAACCTGCAGTTACAAAAGAAGAAAGTCAAATTTGTTAATTAAAAACTATATACCGGTAATCATAATATACTCTTTTGTAAAAAAGTCATGTATTGATGTTGAAAGGGAAAGGGCAGATGGATAGGGAACGTATTTACACGTGTACATGTAATGGATCATAAATCACTTTACAGAGGCATTTTGAAAACTTTATTCAAACCCGTCTGTTGAGCTTTTAAAGCATTTCTGTTACAAAACATAAATGTATGCCAAAAACTGTATCAGTTTTCATTTCTAAAACCTTCCCCAAGAAATTGTCTCCTTGTCGATTTCTTGTAGATTTCTGCAATTGATCCATTGATTGTAAATCACAAATTCCTCCTTGTTTACAAATTTTGCCCGAGAAATATTCTCTTTAGGCGGTGTCACACAGAAAAATCCCGACCCATTTTGAATAAACCAGATTTTAGAAATCTAGTTTTTTCATTTACGTCGATGACAGACTGGTGATAGACAGGCTACGAATAATCCGGATAACTAAAATCCAGATTTTTGATGGGCCATTGCGCACGCGCCGTTTAGGTAGATAAGCATTGTGACATCACAAAGTAACACGTCTCATTACAATGCGCGCTAATATAATTGTGCACATGTCATTGATAGCGCGTTGACTTTACACTGACCTTAAAATGGGATTATTTCAACATTGGTGTGACCGTGTCAGACAGAAAAATCCCTTAAAACAAGGGAAACGCTCTCGGCGGTCTCGCCTACATAACGCAATTCAATATGATAAACCAGAACGTCAATGACGTAGTGCTCATCCGCATCTCGCAACAACAAATATCGTAAATTTTATGTGGTACACTTTTGAACTGGACAAAAAATAAAAATTTGATGCCCTGGAAGGAACATAATTTCATTTCATTTGCATAAAGTACCATAAATAATCAATGGAGCAAAATCTCACAATTCTGTGTAGAAGTTTAGTGTTCCAAATTTAGCTCTACCAGATAAGGCAAACCAAATTAAAAATCGGTCAAGAAATGAGGGAAAAGAAGCAATTTTTGTTATTTTTGGAATAAATTTGCATAAATTACCATAATTAATTAATGGACAACAATTTCAAAATTCTGTGTAGAAATTTAGTGTACCAAAGCTAGCTCTACGATATAAAGCAGACCAAATCAAAATCTGTCGAGAAATGAAGGAGAAGAAGCCTTTTTGTGATTTCGAATAAATTTGCATAAATTAGCATAGATAATGAATTTCACGATTCTGTGTAGAAATATTAAATCCCCCTCCTAGCCCTATCATATGAAACAATCAGAATCAAAATCGGTTGAAAAATAATGAAGAAGAAGCATTTTGAAAATCTTGATGTTGATGCCACAACAAAGTCTAAGTTTGTTGACCTTAAATGACCTTTGACCTTAACTTAGTGACCTGAAATTCTACTCACATGATTGAGGAGACTTGATAACCCTATAGTCCAAGTTTCATTGACTAAGAACTTATACATTCAAAATTATATCAAAAATTCAAAAACTTAACCTTAGGTTAAGTTTTCGATGATGATGCTACAACATAGTCCAAGTCTGTTGACCTGAAATGACCTTTGACCTTGACTTTGTGATCTGAAATTCTACTCACATGATTGGGGATACTTGATTACCCTATAGTCAAAGTTTCATTGACTAAGAACTTATACTTTAAAAATGATATCTAAAATTCAAAAACTTAACCTTAGGTTAAGTTTTTGATGTTGACGCCGTCGCCGTCACCGGAAAAGCGGCGCCTATGTCTCGCTTTTTGCTACGCAGGCGAGACAAAAACCCTTTAAAAATCCTTTCAAGAGAGAATTATCTTGCTTCATATGAGGATTTTTGAAGGGATATTTGAAGGGATTTTTAAGGGATAATTGATGACAGACAGTCAATTAAGAGGATAACTAAATTCTGTATAATTAAAATCCGGATTTTTGGCCTCTGTGTGACACCGCCTTTTGTTGATTTCCTGTAGATTTCTGCAACCTGTAAGTTACAAGTTGTAAGTTACAATTCTTAAGCCCCCTTAGGGTATATTTCATATCTGGTATTTCCTGTGTAATCTACAACCTGTCAATTATCTTGTGTCAATCAAAATTTACCCCAAAAGTTGGATGGCCTATTCAAGTTTTTCTGATTCAACCCAAGATCAATGTTGCTTACAAACTTATCTTTAAAAAAAACCATATTCTTACAATTGCAAATTTTACCAAATCTATGAGTCATTTGAAGGCAAATGGAAAGAAAGTTGTGCCTTTCTTTGTACCCTTGTTCATATTGTAGGATGGGACTTGCATTGGGAAAATGCTCTTTGTAATAGACCTCTTCAAAAAATGAAGAGGATCATATTATCTGGTGCTCTAACATTTTCCCACGAATGATTGCTCCAGGTCTTATTTCATCAGAAGTATTGGTTTAGAGTTAAGTGAAGTTCAGAATTTAATTAGTGTAGGAACTCACTTTTCATTGAATTTCCTTCTCATTACAACTCTTTGATGGGCAATCAAAACTAAATATACAGTGACTTCCTTAAAACCTCTTTTGTATATTCCTGTGTTATGTGATCACATAATGTGTATTTGTCTTTGTACACTTCTTTGTTATACCTCTAATTCTTACAAATGACAATGCCAATGGGCAATAAAAACTAAATATACATTAACTTCCTTAAAACCTCTTTTGTATTTTCCTTGGTCATGCGATCAAATAATGTGTATTTGACTTTGAATACTCCTTTGTTATACCTCTAATTCTTACAAATGACAATGCATTCAAAACTTAATATACAGTGACTTCTTTAAAACATCTTTTGTCTTTTTCCTCGGTTATGTGATCAAATAATGTGTATTTGTCTTTGTACACTTCTTTGTTTAATATACCTCTAACTCTTACAAATGCCAATGGGCATTAAAAACTAAATATACAGTGACTTCTTTAAACCTCTTTTGTATTTTCTTCTGTTATTTGATCAGATAATATATATTTGTCTTTGCACACTTCTTTATATTATTACCTCAAATTCTTACAAATGACAATGATGACTGGCAATCAAAACTAAATATACAGTGACTTCCTTTGTAGTTTATTCTGTTATTTGATCACATGTGTATTTGTCTTTGTACATGACAATGCCGATGGGCAATAAAAACTGAATATACAGTAACTTCTTTAAACCCTCTTTTGTATTTACTTCTGTTATTTGATCACATGTGTATTTGTCTTTGTACACTTCTTTGTTTTGTATAATGTATAATTCTGCTTTGCTAACTTTGTTATTGTTAAACCAATTGAAAAAGAATTCCTGTTGTGCGAAAGATGAATCAATAATTTCAATTTCAGTTGCCGAGAGACGCTCAAAGCAGTTTGGACAGACATGTCTTTGATGACCGGCAAGCTTACCTTGGATTCAACAGCTGGTTGTTCCCCCCCAGCGGGTTCCTCTCTCACAGGTACCACCTTGATAGCCTCCTCTGAGCCGGGGAGGGGTGCGGCTTCTGCACCCTTGGTCATCTTGCTGACATACTCCTTCATGGCAACATGGTCACGCCCGCCCTTGTAAGATTCAACCTAGTAACAGAGGCATTCAGTAATGAAAGCCAGGTTAGTACAAATAAAGAGTTTAATTCCAAAAGGAGCTAAATCCACTTTTGTAACTTCAGAGAAAAAAAAAATGTTTACCAGATTTCGTACAGGCGTACAGTGCACTTTATCATAATTGCTCCCAAAATTTAGGTAAAATTTTTCGTTTTAAAAGACAGGTACTTAAGTGAATAATGTTCTTATATCAATAACTCAATTTTAATCAAAAGTGGATTTAGCTCCTGGAAACAAAAATCAAGTAATTTTAATTTTCAAAGTTATATAGATCGAATTATAGATTGAATGTACAATCTGTAAAGGAACACACTATGTTGCTCCATATGGAAAATTTAAAAAAATATATAGCTAACACATTACTTATTTTTTGGTAATCTTTACTGGTACTTCAAACTCTATTATCCCTTGCAAGATGCCAAGATTACAAAAATGTATCACAACTAAGATTCACCTGGCAGGAATTAATTCCCTGAAATGCTAGAGCACCATAAATGGCAGCCATGCTAAAGCCAGAGTAATAATTGTGGAGGGCTAGCAGTTGGAGTTTCAAGTGTGACAGATATGAGCGCTATAAAAGAACCCACTATTATTATTATTTCATGAGACAAGCCTTTAATAGTGTGACAGACATGAGCAATATAAAGCTTTTAATCATGGTTCTGTGAAGAAGAAAACATGTTCATTTGGAACAAAAAGAGTGTTCTGTGGTATCAAAATTCAATCCATGAGCCAAATTTAAATTTCAAGATTTGACATGCTTATCTGAATAAAAAAAGGTACCACATGATACATAGCATATCAGACTTTGGTCAGTTTCAAACCATCTACTGAACTGTTTGGGATTTATAAGGTAACTCACAGCTTCTCCGTCCGTGAAGAACTTGAGGGTTGGATAGCCCTTGACTCCATACTGATCACAGACTGCTCTATGTGCTGTACAATCAACCTGTAAGGAGTCAACAACACACCTTCAACTGTAATGCATTCAGAATGGGCTGGTTAAAGGCTTAGCAGAGTGGTCCACATGGGTTTGAACTACAACAAGTTCCTCTACTTCCTAATTAGTCTATTCCCATATGGTCTACTACCCACATGGTCCAATATTCATATAGTCTAATGGCCATTTAGGTTAATAGCTATTTAGTCTAATTCTAAGTTTGTCTAAATTCCATTTTGTCTACTATACAATATCCATAAGGTCTAATAATTATTTGATGATTATCAGTATTTATGATTAAATTGGGTAGGATGTATAAATTCACCCCACCCACACTTTACTCCTGTCTTTGCTACCACTCCTGAGGGCATTTCACAAAGGAGAAATTAATGGAGAGCCATTTGTAGCCTTCAAATAAAGTATGTTAAAAAGCGAAAAATCAAATATTTTAGACTTTTTATGAATTCCACATTAAGAACATGAAATCCCTTTGATAATAGAAAATATGAAGGATTTGAATCAACATTGTATGCCTTTTAAAAATAACTTTTACAAAATATTTTCATAGATGCTAATGGCTTTCCATAATTTTTAAGTCCAACTTAGATATACATGTAAGTTAAACTTAGAGATAAGTTCAACTTAGAGATACATGTAAGTTCAACTTAGGATCTTTGTGAAACACCCCCCAGACCTTTGACATTACCTTAGCAATGGTCACAATGTCACTATGCTGGAACCCTTTGGCAAGGTCATCCCATGTCGGGGCAAGTCGCTTGCAGTGGCCGCACCATGGGGCATAGAACTTGATGAAATGGTTTCCTTTAGCTACGTGATCCTTGAAGGTGGCTACGGTTAGCTCGTAGAGACCATTCTTTGCTGCAGGGACCTGGGGAACATCAGCTTCCTATTAACAAAATAATTGCAAAAACAATGATTTGAATGGACTAGGAGAAGTGCCATTTTCACCCACTATTATTTAAGAACTCTCTTTCAATCAGTAAATGTAACAGATATTTCATGTGATCAAGCCCAGTGGGGCACATGGCATATTCCCCTCCCCCATCATTTAGGGAAACAGGAACAAAGAATCCGAAAAGAGAAGAGAGAGAGAGAGAGAGACAGACAGAGACAGAGAGAGAGAGAGAAATAGAGAGAGAGAGACAGACAGACAGACAGAGACATATAGACAGAGAGAGACAGAGAGAGACAGACAGACAGAGAGAGAGAGAGAGAGAAATAGAGAGAGACAGACATACAGAGAGAGACATATAGAGAGAGAGAGAGAGAGACAGAGAGACAGACAGATAGAGACAGACAAAGAGAGACAGAGAGAGATAGAGAGAGAGAGAGAGAAGGGGGAAGGTAACATGAAAATATGCCATGACACACCCTTTCTCCACTTCACCATGTCTTGAGCATCCTCCTCATTTAGACCAACCTTACTGCTTTCTTTCTTCACCACTATCTTTCCATGAAACCTGTGGTCTTCTTTTCCTCTTATGCCATCCACTTCCAGATCCTGTACTCTTTTCACAGGTTCATTATCTTTCCTTCTCAACACATCACCTATCCAGCTCAATCTACTGCTCTTTACCACTTTATCATATGGTTGAATTGTGTAATGCACAGATACATGAAAGTGAATACCAAGGGACCTTGTGTGCAGCTACCTTTTAAATTTCACATGCCCTTCGTTGAGTACACAAAAAATAATAAATAAATAAATATAAAAAACATCAGCACACGTGGTGATTTACCAGCATACTATAATGAGCCATAAGGCCTAAAATAAAAGCTGTTTTATTGCCCTTTGGTTGCCAAAACATGGGTCGGTTGGTCAGAAATCTTTAAAAAAAAAAAAAAAAATTAAACATTTTTTGTAAAACTCCCTCTTTGGGCAGATATTTTTCAGTTTTGAATGCTTCAATACATTTTTTTCCCAAAAAACGGTAAAAAATAAATAATAAAAAAAAAAAAAAAGACATAAGATTTCAACATTTTTGGGTCGGTCGCAAAGGGCAATACAACATCTTTTTTTGTAGGCCTTAGGTATGTGCCCTGGAAAAGTTAACACATGTGACTTACCTGTGGATTCAGCTCTTTCTCTATGTATGCATCTAATGTGGCAAAGTCTCGCTTGCCCTTGTATTTGAGAGGTTCTTTGTCTTTCTTGTAAAGCTTGAGGGTGGGGTATCCAGTGACGCCGTGTTCAGAGCATAGCTTGGTCTCTTCTGTACAATCCACCTGGTCAATGATCAAATCAAAACATATAATAAAGGTAATACAAACTTTTGGATAATTTTGAAAAATGGGTGGATAGTGATTCTTTACCATTTTATTATATTTGGATGCCCCTGTGGATGTCTTGTAAGCACTAGAAAATTTAGCCAGCTCCAAAAACACTTCTGCGTTCGAGATAAATTGAAAATAGCGCCTACGGCCATACAATGGTAGCTGCGACCATGAAAATCTCAGAATATGTAGTTGTGATATATAATTTCCAAATGGGAATAGCCAATCGGTCGATTTTAGTCAAGAAACATTGTTTTATAGCTAAAATAAATATATTGACCTTGAGAGGGAGCTATACAACATAAACAGTTTATTATTACAATTTCGTCACTTTAGACTCGATTTCAACCGCGACAACGATCACTGAATAGTGTAGGATCGCATATGCTTCCAATATGTTCATTTGAACCAAATTCATGACCCCATACCGAAACTTTGTATTACTTTTAAAGGCTTATGCCTTTTTCTTACGTGCCTTGTGACGGAATCGTGATAGATTTAGAAAGCAGATAACAAATATTTGACAGATGCTATGTCTTTCTTGTAAAGTTTTAGGGTGAGGTATCCAGCAATGATGTGTTCGGAACACATTTTGGTCTCTTCCATACAATCAACCTGGTCAATGATTAAGTCAATCAAACTAAAGCTTTCATTGTTTTCTGATGTGTCCTGTGACTGATTTGAGATAAATATAGAATGGTGATAAATTTCCTCTCTGATTGGTTTGTTAGACTGAACAAGGAATTATAATATATTTTTTTTTTAAATACTAGAAATAATGTTTTTTTTTAAAGTTTATAACATGAATGTGACTGAAATTGACATTGTTCAAATATCTACCAACACTATGCTCTGTGCCTGTGTTTCTTTATTATAAGATTTGCCATTGAAAGCTTCGCTGAAAAGTATTTTTTAAATCACTATTGAAACTGATTTCCATACCATCAAATAACAAAAATGCAGAATATAAATTTGAAATGAAGATAAACGATGCATTTAACAAAGAAATTGACATAGGAATTAAGGCTGTGCACAACAGTGTAATAAGGTACCTGAGTACACTCCAAGGCTTACAAGTGAATATTCGGACGCCATTTTTATTTATTTTTTAAAATTTTTTGTTGTTGATTTTTTAATTTTTGTTGTTGAATTTTTTGATTTTTTGATTTTTTTTTTTTTTTTTAATTTTTTGCCACCACCATACCCCTGTTGCAGTATCCCAGTATTGCCGAAAAGGCATGCAATTTTACTTCGAGTTGCAGTTGAAGACGCTGATTTAATGATAATACTAACAGTAAACAATGCTGTTTTAAACACCAAAGATGGCAGAATAATCCATTTTCCTTCTGAGTCCAAACAGAAATCTGGACATTTGGTCCCAGTTTCTGAGTGGTGAGTTTGACAGTGCTTGAGTTGTTAAACATTTTCACCGACGGTACCATGCCAGCGGCCGCCGTTCTTCCTGGCCGAATATTCGGGTACGAAAAAATCATACCCGAGTAGTTGTCAACCGTGTTGCTACTCGAGCATTCGACTACCCGTCGCAGCCTTAATACGAATGTATAAATTTAAAAGGCTTAATGTCTAAGATATAAACTGATTTGTTTGTGAAGGCAATCAAGCAAATGATTTAGATTCACACTTTGATAACAGTAATATAATTGTATCAAGAAAATTCTTGTTATACTGGCAAGTATAAAATGGAGTCATATAAAAGATACTCAAGTAAAATTCTGCAACTCAAATATATTGCCTTGACATGATTTTTGAATAATTTGTTTCAATCAGAACACAAAGCTAAAGAATAGAAATCTTACTTTCGCAATGGTAACGGTGCTGTCCTCTGGTTTGTTATATTTTTCACTCAGCTGACTCCAAATGGGTGCTAACCTCTGACAGTGGCCACACCTGAAGGGTAAGTAGAGGAGATAAAAATAGGTTGAAACATCACAATTCAGAATACTGCAATACTATAATAGTGATGTACACCATTAAACATGTATTGAATATAGAATATAGAATATTCCAGTCCAGGCCCTTTCCTTAGTCTGCTCTTCTTTTCTTCCTGTTTCCATAGTACTATACTAAAAAGTCAGGAACTTACAGTCATGGGCATGAAACTTTTGTGAACTTTGCATGTGGTCCAGATTGCAAAAGTTTCATACCATCAAATAATTACTAGTAAATTCCTTTTATCACAACACTGAATTTGGGCGATTTGCAAAAGCGGCTGTCAAAAAATATTTGTGAAAGTCTCTATCTGTGAAAATTTCTGATTGTACAGTACATTCATGAAAATGGACCTATGGCCACTAATTATGTTGTGCACCTGGAAACCCTTCTCAAGGCTGAATGAAACTCTCCAAATCTAGGAATACAATACACATAGAGTTGAGGGAAAGGGGGGGGGGGAGGGAGTAACACATCAATAGTTCCAAGAAAGGAAGCAAATTGGTTTGAGTAGAGAAAAAACAGCTATTCTTGATTTTATATTGTGATATTCACTTGATTTTTATAATAATAGATGTACATGTACCAAAGGAAGGCTCACATTAGTTTTTGAGCAGATGAACCAATAAATTAAAAATGAATTTTTACAGTTACTTAAAGATGATAAAGCACTGTACACTGCCACAAAGTATAAAGTTTTAAATGTATTCATCTTTTCCAGTGCAAGGTTAACCTATACCAGTGTTTGAAGTAGCTAATAAAAGACTAGAAATTTGTAATTTTGCAAAGCCATTGCATTGCACAAAGCAATCCTTTCATCAAATGGTGCCTATTGTTTTGTGCATAATTGCATGTATGGCAAACAAGCAACCATGCACAGGGGGCGAAGAGGGCAACCGAAGTGTTAATCACTTGTTGGTGCATGTAAATAATACACCATCTGTTGCCAGAAGCTAAACAAATCACGCATGTCTATTTATAATCACATGCCTTTGTCTACCAGAACAAACAATCCATACGCCTAATAATGGAATGAAGAACAAATGGCTAAATAATACATGTACAGTTTTTTTTATAGAAAGGGTAATACCGGTAGTTACTTCATATAAACTTGTCACAAGTAAAAGAACCCCAAATTAGAGCTTGAGGTAGCGTTGAACTGAAGGAGTAAAAGTAGACCCTTTGACTACTGGTAAGACATCACACCTACCAATGAATTAAAGCAAAAGTTAAGTATTTTGTAAGGCAAAATTAGGAATCCTGTCTTTTTTGTATACTTTTCATACAGAAGTTCTTAAAAAAAGAGAGGGAATCTACTAATCTAGGGTTTGTAACATTAGTTTAAAGGTCAACAAATTGGAATCATTCCTCCAAAATAAGAATTGTTGGCAGCTATAAATTCTCTGCAAGACGAGATACAAATTATGCCAAATTATTTGTATACTCCTTGTGTACATGAATGAGCTTTACAAATCAGTATTCCCAAAGGATATAAAGTGTATCACCTGTATGTAATCGCTAGTCGACATTCTACATGTATCCTGTTTTTACTGATTTTTTTCTTCAATCATCATGTTCCCCCTTCCCTTGCGTTCCACACGAAGCGCAATGTCTCCACTAATCGCACAAATGGCACAATCCTTGAATTCAGACCCTAGAATGAAAGGACTGTGTCTGTTTGAGCGTTGAGAATGTGTGTATACTTATGGTAAATTTTTCAGATGATTGGGCGCAGTGGACTAAGGTAATCACTTGACCCAATGTTATCAGAAGTGCAGGTACTGTCACAACAGTCACATGAATTTAAAAGCAAAGAGCCATATAATTCTGTGGTATAGTGGTTCATGCACTAGACCTACAGTCTCAGTCAAGAAGTCGAGGGTTTGCATCCCTGCATAGCCATTGTACATTATAAAATGGATTACCGGATCCCAATATCTCTCTCTCTCTCTCTCTATCAATCTCAATCGGTGGGGTTTTAAAAAGTGATTTTCTAGATAAATCACACTTTATACATGTACATGTAGCAAGAAACAAGGATATCCAAGAGATCCAGGAAGTGTGTTATAACAAAATATGCTGGTATGCAAATTGACATGTACATACCATTCTCCCTGTATTATTATCTTATAAGTGCTATTGTAATAAGTGTACATGTACATAATGTACATTGTAACAAATGAATCTTTACTTAGTCAACAATCTTGCAGGTCAATTAAAGGTCAAGCACCATGTATTTTCTGGATTGTTTTTTCACATTAAAATTTCAATCTGTGCATTTTCTTCATTTTGGTTAACTTAGAGAAACTTATACATATATATGTTTCTAGATTTTCTATTTTAAACCTTTGAACTTATTCCTTTCATTGTGAACAGGTAATAAATATAACGACTTTTAACTCATGATCTGTACTTGGACATTTAAAATATACCTAATTTTGTGTATGTTAAAAATGATTGACTTTTATTTCTCATGCAAAACATAATACAAAAATAATTATATCACAACAAATATGTAATGAAACGATAAATATAGTGAAAATAGCACGAGAAAAGAGGAACTAACTTGAAGCAGAGCTTGTTGAAGTGTTAGTTCCTCAGATGCAAATTTTACAATAAAACATGAACAAAGTATGCTTATAGATCAATAAAAAGACAATATGTAGCTAGGAAGAAGGAAAAAAAAAGAAGAAAAAAATGAGGAAGAAAAAGAAAAGAAAAGAAAAAAAAATGAATAAAGGAAAATAGAAGAAGACAAAAACAAAAGCTCTAGAAAAGGGAGATTGAGAAAGAGATTGAGTGGAGAGTCAAACAAACCGAGATTGTATCCACACATAGGAGCATCACTATCCTGGCTGTGTAGTAAAAGCTGTGCTTTTGATTCTCAACATTTCAAACACCACTGTACAAAACTCAACTGATTTCACTAAAAATCGGTACTTTAGTGACAATTGATGACACCTAAATAAGCAGTAAAATACATTTTTAAAAACTTACTGATGTTAAAAAGAATAATTTAAAAATTAAAATTGTAAGTCTAGTGTCAAACTTTGCTTACAGCTGCATTGACATGATTGTGTACAGTCTATGCAATATTGTGTGGTGTGTATATTTGTGTATGGGTATAATAATACCCGCCTCACAGCAAGTATGCAGTGCTAGAGGTCAATACGCATTAGCATTGACTCTCTTAGACCGAAAGCTTCAGTCTCTATAATCGTCGGTTGTTCCACTGAGACTACGCCTGGCTCCACTAGACCTCCGGTTATAGAGACTGAACGATCGCCTATACCATCGTATGTTGAAGATATCACGGCTAGATGAATGATTATGAAGGAAAAACTGTGATAACGCCATTACGAACGTGTAGATGGCGCACAGTTTTTCCTTCATAATCATTTGCCTTCGGCGTAGACTAGAAGGGATGAGATTGACGGCAGCGAGAGTTTAACACGGCTTGCAAGATTTTCAACAAGGATGTCGATTTTGACCCATAATTTCCTTAAAAGGGACCATTAAATGGATTATTTCAATCAAGTTAGTAAGTGGAACTGATGTATTATAGCCTAGGCCTAATTTAAAATTGGATATGGACGAGGTAAAATGACATTTTGGGGGATTTTGGGGGCATAACAATATGGCCGTGGCAAGTTTGTCATGTTTGTGGGAGGGGCCTAGCGGCTATAATCTAGCCGTGATATCTTCAACATACGATGGTATAGGCGATCGTTCAGTCTCTATAACCGGAGGTCTAGTGGAGCCAGACGAAGTCTCAGTGGAACAACCGACGATTATAGAGACTGAAGCTTTCGGTCTATGACTCTCTATCATCTATTATGCTTTGCTGGAGTGATTCTATCATGTTATTTAGACTAGTAGGGTATTTCCACGCCGGAGTTACGGTTCAAATTTTGGATATGTTTATGAACAAGCGCCAAAAATATTCATAGTTTTTTTTCTATCTGATTTATAAATCAGAAAATAGATCTAGATCTATTCTAGGGTCTGAACATTGAAAATCGGGGGAGAAAGTGTCTGTCACAAACTGACAAAGAGGTAAATGGGCCAATCTATCCCCCGGTGCGAGTGGTCTGGATTACCGTCTGTGTATATAGAGAATATCAACAAATGTCAGTTTTATTAAAGAAATGACCCATATCAGATGGGTATTTCTGTCTAGCCTGGGCCTGGTCATGCCACGGTCGATGGTCTCGCCGCGGTGCAGCGCCGATAAAGCGAGTTGACTTAAAACATGGAACTGAATATATGGGGCAATGTTAAAAACGAAAGTGAACGAACTACTAATTAGAGCTGTTTTACTAAGCTTACCACGGGGCAAAGAACTTGACAAAATGATCTCCTTTGCCTATTTCTTCCACGAATGAAGCAGTGTCATAATTAAGGTCGAAAGACGCTTCTTCCTCTTCTCCACAAACCAAATTCAGGCCAAATATGACCAAAACGGCGAGAGAAACACACTTCATGACTAGATTCTTGCTTTAATTTAAGGCAACGTATGATTAGAATTACGTCAAGGAAAAAATAAGTTACCGGTGCGGTGTAAGGCAGAACAATTCTACAAATAGATACCTATGATTAAAAAAAAGTTATCATGACCAATTTATAAATAAAAAAATATGAAAGGAGGTATGGCTTGTACTATATTTAATAATTTTACACGTGATTATTAGCCTGAAAATAAGATTTAATGATAAACAATTGCGGCATAATCCTCAAACTAAGCCTAATACTCTGACTTTTAGTAATAATAACTAGGCGTTGTGGCGTGCGCCTGTAATCCAGCTAAAAAGTGGAAGTTACAAACTGATTCAGCCGAGGACGCAGGTTCGAAACTGAGTCACGTCTTTCGGATGGTGACGTTTAAAGGTCGGTCCCAGACGTAAATAATCATATCTGATTGATACACGTCTGTAAAAACCCAATACACACACACACACACACACACAGTCACAATTGAATGACACACGCCCTTAAAACTAAAACAACAACAACAACAACAACAGTTAGCCCTTAAGACTAAAACAACAACAACAGTTTAATACCTTTTTATGACAAAGAAATTATGATTTTCTACTATTTAAAAAATAATTAATTCAGTGATGAATAAAAAACCCGAACAATGACGAAGATGCATACATGGGCGAAATAGCTATACGGTGCCTCCTTGACGCCCCCCCCCCCCAGCATAGTTTCAGTGTCGACACCTCAAATTAGGGCATACCAACGTACAATATTTTGCACATAATCATAATTTAAAAGCCCCAAATTTGTACTGGTTAGGTGCAATCTTATCTGTGTTTTTTTACTGTGTTCATTAGACCCTATTTTTATCACATTGACCTGACATTTACTCCGTTGACATTTTTCTACGTGGCCTCAAAAAGTTTAGTTGGATGTTGGTTGCACACTCATTAGCCGTTCAAAACAAGAAACCTTGGCGCTGTATTTGATTCGTGCATGCATGTCGATGTCTCGCCATATTTCTCATATTTGAAGTATGCTTGCTGGAATCAAAAGGTTCAGACGAGTCTGCTTGTCAATGTTGTGCGTTCTTTAGTTCTATCCCGTATTGATTATTGTAATGGGCTTCTATCTACCATTCCCTCGACTAAATTGGATCGTGTGCAACGGCTACAAAATTTGGCAGCGCAATTGATATATCAGGTTTGTAGGGATCATTCATCTCAGGCTTGAGATCATTACACTGGCTTCCTTTGAAACAAAAAACAATTTTTAAAATGCTCAATAATCAAGCCCCACAATATTTAGATAACTGTTGGAATTTGTATACACCTACCTGGACATTGAGGTCGATCAGCCAGTGATCCTCTTCGTCGCACATATTCAGTTACCCGCACATTAGCCGGTGATAACATTTACTTTATCTGCTTCAGAATATCACTTAGAATTCGTCTTAATCAGTCATTACCTTCAGAAAGGCTTTGAAAACACCTTCTTTTTTTGCAGTTTGTAGTTGTAAGATCGTTTTTCTTTTTACATGTATTTATGTAATTGCCATTTACTGTAAGCGCTTTAGGTCTTCTGGGAAAAACGCGGTAGAAATAAAAAAATAAAAAATAAAAAAAATAAAATAAAATAATAATAATAATGCCCCACTACATGCTATATTTCAGAATTTTTAAAAACAACGTAACTTTCACTCACACAAGTAAAAAACAAAATGTGCACCCCACCCTTTTTGCGTTGATGACCATTGTCTCTCTTTCTTTCGGTCTTTCTTTTTCAAGTTCTTTTCTATTTCCTTTTTGCTTGCTTGTCAGAGTATTATATAATAAATTAAGGTACATTGATATCATGACGTTGAACTCAATGAAGAAATTATATTAAGCAATCGTATTCTCAAAAGTATTTCCATGTCTATAGTCATTGCCAAAATAAGCCAACAAGTTTGAAGGGCAGTGAGTCAGGAAGAATTGAAGTGTTTCTTAAGCGCCGGAGGGGGAACTTGACACCATATAGCGAAACCCTTTGATGAATATTTTGCCTTTAATGGCACTTTTTATCACACAGGCAAATCGAAGCCTGTGCTTCATATTTATTCCTTTTCTTGTCCTTTTTTGATACTCTGCGCAGAGTCAAATCATCATTTAGACAAGATTTTTCCAATTTCGGAGGACGATGTCTCTCCGATTGCATTTACATATACTATCCATGGGTGTCGATCCCGGGGGGATGGGGGGGGGGGGGGATATATCCCCCAATATTTCAGATGGGGGTGGCCTGTACAATCATCCCCCCACTAATTCACCATAAAAACAAATGAAGAGAAAAATTAATGAGAGCCCGATGAGAGTAGTTAATGTTTATTACTCGCAAGATGACCATCAATATATTTTGCTATCTCATTTTCATAATACATACATATATAAATAAAAAACGAAGTAAACGAGATAACCGTCTATGAGACAAGAATAAATTGAATTCTCGCTCATACGGCTTCATCTGGAATTTATGAATTTATTCAATTTATTCAATCAACAGCATCACAGAAATGTAGTGCGTCAAATGCAAAGCCGCATGCGTTAAAAAACAACGAGCTAAAATGTTAAGCGCGAAGCGCGAAAGTGCAAAAAAGAAGTAGAGAGTGGGAGAGAGAGATAATTAGAGACAGAGAGGAAAATAACCCAGGTAGCAAGCCTATGTGGGACCCACATGGGTCCCATTATCTCTGAAACATGGGCCCCATATGGAAAACCATCTGGGCTTAATGCATCTGCACTCAAGAAGCATATGGGACCCATATGGGTAAACCCATAATAGACAAATGAGACACAAATGGGACCCATACCAAACTGGGCCCAAATGGGTATGCCCAGCTTAATCCCATCTGGTACCCATATTGGTTAACCCAGATATATCCCATGTAATAAAATATTGTATCATCGAAGAGAAAGACGGTTTTGTCCAAATGGGAGCATGTAGGAGACGAAACTTTCAGTTTGATCCCTGATTCATACTCAGTATCTATTTTGTTTTATTGATTTCATCCATTTCTTTGTTTATTTATATCTCTACAATCATGTAAAACATTTGAAGAGCTATTTTCTGAAAGGAGCAAAATCTTTTGATAGCAAACTGAGATAATGATACACATTTTCCTCTATTTACCTTGAACAAAATTATTAACCTAAATTACGAGAGAAATTATGAACACATGCATCTTTTAATAACAATTTTCCATAGACACCTGAACAAAATCGGGTAAACAAAGAGTTCTTTCTTAAGTTACACACATGGATCTAGTGCCTCTTGAAAATAAGCTCTTTGTATGTACATGAACAAGCAATACAACAGAATACTCCGGTTCGATATTTTGGAGAAAGATTATTATGTCACAACTTATTTTTGTTTTATTGAAAAGCTGATGTAGGCCTATGTATTGTATTCAAACATAACAGGCATATAAAATAGTTAAGGTATTTTTGAAGGTTAGAATGGTATTAAGTTTGAAGTATTGTTTATAACACCCTTCCAATAATAATGCAACTTCTAAGACTGGTAATAGTTTTTGAAGGAAAATGATCTGGTCAGGGCCTTAGGGGAATATTATGCTTATATTTTAGAGTGTATCTGGTATGATAAGTATATCTGGGTGAAGAAGGAGATAATGGAAGTTTGTTGTTTGGTAGATGGAACGTAAGTTTTATATTATGTTTTTAAGAAACAGACAGTTTGTATTCTGATATTCTGTTTCATTGAATTGAGTCTCCCGCAGAGAGGATTCAGTTGGTTTAATTAAAGAAGGAAGAGAGTCAAAATAATGAAGAACCAAAAGCAATATTTTTTTCATTTACTTATGAGAATTATGTTTTTTTGAGATCTCCTTACACAGAATATTGGAATGGGGTTTTCACGATGAATGTTGTTTGGAGACATCAATATTCATAAAATGTATATTTCTATCACCAGGAAATGAAGAATTTTCTGTCTACATTAACCTTTCCTGGTTGCTTATTAATGCATTTGCCAACTGGTAACATAATACTTTCACAAGTTAATATCCCTCACCATTGGATTTTTTTTTGTAATGTCTAAATTTCGTTTAAAAATAGATGATATCAGTCTGGTAAGCCTACACTGCAGGCAAGAGTCAGGACTAACATTTAGCATGTTATCAATTTTATAACCACTCTTATATTCTCTGAAATGTTATTTTTATTGAGGGTGACTTGAAAAAGTTAATAGCTTGGAAGGGAGGGGGTGCAACCTGCAACACGATTCTACCTCTTGGTTGCTTTGATCCATTGCCGAATATATTTTGGCACCTATCATCCCCCCAACCACGGATACAAATCGACACCCCTGATCCTATCTATCTATTATGTAAGAGAGCGTAGTAACCGAGAAAGACATTTTCAAATTGTTAATAGTGAACGTTTGCATTATAAAGCACCTTGCCTCATTATTCTACGACATACTTCAATCTTTCCTTTTATCTCTCTCTGTCTTTTCCCCTCATATTTTGTTCGTTTTGGTATTGTGGCAATTTTCCAGAAAGTGGGGGTGAGGGGAATGCTCCTCCATGAATAACTAAAGGGAAATGTGTCTTCGAGTCTCTCCGACATGGACGCTCTGGCTTGCAGTTCTTAACATGACTGTCTTTTCTCAGTTTTGAGAGATTTCTCATTTTAAAAGTCTAATCGTGATCAAACAATTTGTCTTGCATTCGAAAAATAGGCCTATATATTTTTAGGAGGAAAGTTACTAAGAAAATTCAGCCAGTTTTTTTAATATAAAACCTATTGCAATTATGAAAATGCATTTTTAGGGCACTTTTTATTTAGGAAAAGGACTAATACATTTAAAAGATATAACTGATTAGGAAGACCCCCTCAAAAAAACGAATGATAATAGGTCCTTAAAAACGTACTTTCATGGCGTGACTGTAAAATATACTTGATGTGACCAATACAATTATTATGAAAGAAAGTAGTGATAAACGAAATGGCAATTTTTTCTTTCTAGCCCTTCACCTTTTATTGTTTCTTCTCTTTTCTTTCTTTTGTGGGCGTGGAACTTTTTTTTTTGGGGGGGGGGGGGGAGGGCAGCATCCCCAAGCCCCTGCAGTAGGCCAGTATGTCTAGTTCGTCCTCCTTCATTTACCTCCCTTCTGTTTTGGATAGCGAGAGAGATACAGAGAGAGAGAGAGAGAGAGAGAGAGAGAGAGAGAGAGAGAGAGAGAGAGAAAGAGAGAGAGAGAGAGAGAGAGAGATAAAGAGAGACAGAGTGAGACAGACACAGAGAGATTGTTTATTGTACTATATATTGTAATACTTTATGGTTTATATATGTTATTTTAATTTTGGATATTTTGGTAGAAAAACTAAATCAAATCAAAATATAATTAAAAGTACCATTTAACATGGTATTGTCTACTGATAATGACAAAATTCACACGTTTTGTTATTATTTGTTTATTATGATCAGGGAGGTGATCACCCCCTGTTATAATTATTTCCAAATCGAGGAGTGTGAGATTTTGAGAATGCATTGCAATTTTGCAAATACCCACCCCAATCCAAGGATGGTCGCGACTCCTTCTCTTCTCTTCCACATCCCCTCTCTCTCTCTCTCTCTCTCTCTCATTTTCATATCTGTCTAGGCTTTCTAGCATACGTTCGCTTCTTTTCTTCTTCAGTCATGTAATGTCTCCCACAGCATGTTTCAGAATGGAAATAGATATAACCACACCAATAAATAATACAAAGGGAAAGGATTGTGGAAAATAAAAATTTTATTACGTTGCGTCATTGTTTAGGTATATACATTTATCTGTTCAAGGAATTAATGAATTCGACAGTAAGACGATTACCAGAGATAGAAACAAAACTGTTCATTTTAAACATCGATATATATTTTTAGCACGCTTCATTAAATAGCATAATTAAGAATCTGAAAGAGCATGATAGAAATAATAAAACAAAATGTATATTTATTAAAAATGTTTGTAAACACAAATCTCATTGAAATTAATTTTGTTTGCGAATTGTACTTCCCGTTGTACTTACGCCACATGTCGCACTGGCAAGAAACACAATTTCATCACTTAGATAAAAAAGAAAATGTATGTATATGAATGAACAGCTAAAAGTTCAAGAACACAAATATTACATTTCCAAATGGGGTGATCGATGATTATAATGTATTTCATTTAATATCGGACCACTGGGCCCGTCTTATACAGAGTTGATATTAATTGCAACTTATTATGTACATAAGAGATAGGAGATTGCAAACTTGTGATTGATTTTGGGGGGGGGGGGGGGTTACAGACGTGTATCAATCAGATATGATTATTTTGGATCAATCGCAACTCTTTAAGACGGGGCCCACTATCTCACAAACAGGCACTGGCAATATTTGCAATATTTACAAAAAAGAGAACTTTAACGCTCTAACGATATATTACAAGCATTATACATAGGCCTATATACAATTTACAAATACCAAAATATCAACAACAACAAAAAAGGAATCGGAAAACTAAATTATATACATCTGGGGCCTGTTATGCTACGAAAGCGCACGATAGCACGGAAAAGGAAATATTGACACAAATTTCACTGCTTTCAACTTCTCTTAGCAAATTGATTTTTGCTACATTTTCAATTACTACCCATCACTTGATTTAATTCTTCATTATGTATTTTTTCGTAAATCCGATGACTTAGCTTCTTTTTGCCTTTTCTCACACGCTGGTGTGGACCGGTGAGTACGAGCTTCGAAAGAATGGCCGTCTGTATTTTGTCAAGTTTCGGCTGATGAGTTGGTGATTTGAGAGGGTAGGTGGTTAACATTTTGAAATTAGAATATAATATACAAAATAAAACATTGCTAATCCCTTGGCAAAATTTAGTCTAATGGTCCGGCTTTGAGATTGACATTTCGTTTCTCTCAACTTCTTGTTTGAAACTATCAATTATCTTTTTTTAAATTTAAACTCTCTGAATGCTTCTTAAAATGATTTTTGCCTATCTATAAGATTTTCATGTATTCTAAAGTGGCAAGGAGAAATTATACTTGATTGTAAATGTTATATTGTATAATTTGTATCTTTAATATTGTATAATCAATAAAGGAACCATGTGGAAGGGTTAAACAGTATATGAATTTAGACACAACGGTGTGTGTTTTCATAACTATTATTCAAAACAAATTTTTCCTGCATGTTCTTTCCTTTGGTGTCAGATCTATGCCTCCACGATTTCTCTCGCGTTTTAATGGTGTGCGTTCATTAACGTCTCCTTCTTCTTCTTCCTTCGAAGATTCATATTCATTCGTCTCTATTTGTATACTGGTTTCGCCCCCACCCCAGTTTCCTCGTCCGTTACTTTCAGAGTCTTTATTTGCTTTTATATCATTGGAACGCCTCTTTAACAAAACTACCCTGAGGATTATGAGAGAGACGATAACGATTATTACGACAAACGCTACAACAGCAACCACAATAATGATAACATTCAATTTACCATCTATTTTACTAGTTTCAGTTCTTCTAGTGACATCTTGATACATCTGATCAGCAGCCATTAGGATGTTTCTATTCTGACCGTCATCATGGATGACGTTCAACGTAGAAGTTTCCATACTTTTAGCTACTATGTCCTCGCAAAAAGAAAAGTTCAAAGAACTTATATTGTGATTTGCTAGTCCATTTGGATTAGAACATATTGGATTATCAATCTTGACGTCTTCATCGTTGGTTATGGAGAGTTGTTGATACCACTGACGCAATGGCTCCAGGCCACAGATGCAATCCCAAGGGTTGCCTTCCAGAAACAGAATTTCAACATTGTTTGTCAAGATTTCCAAAGTCACATTGTCAAGTTGACGTAGACTATTCCAACGTAAGTCCAGACGAATGTTTGGAAGATTAAGAACATTGCCAATAGCAACCAATCTGTTTCCAGAAAGATCAATGGTCATCAGATGATCCATATGCACAAAGAGATCAATGGTAAGGGATGAGAGAGAATTGTTGGACAGGTCTAGGTAAACTAACGATGACAGGTCTTTGAAGATATCTTCAGGAAGATCAAGGAGTTTGTTCATGCCGAGGAAGAGACGTTCAAGGTTCTTTAATTCTTGGAAGACGCCTGAAGTCAGTTGAGATAGGTGATTCTGGTAGAGGTCAATAACCTCTAGCTTCGGTACGAGTTGAAAGGTCCCGTTTTCTATTACTCGTAGCGAATTCCTACTCAGGTAGATGTTTCTGAGTCGATTTTCTGTTCCATTCAGCGCATATCCATCGAATGTTTGTAGATTGTTGTAGAGAAGCTTGATTGACTTGAGTTGAGGTGCCCCAATAAATGTATTTGCTTCGATCTGGAGGAAGTAAGATAGAAAGGCCTTGTAAATAATCTCCAGCATAACAATTGATATGTTTACTGTACTAGAAACCTGTGAAATAATTCAAGGAGGGGGGGGGGGGGGGACTAGGCAGTGAAGCCCACTTTGGGAGACCAATACCAATATTGAGAAGAACATCACCTCACATCGGATAGCGAGTATGTAAAGAAACACAGGACTATGAAAATGTTTCTTTATGAGCCCATTTGGTAATTAGAGGCGATTCCTCAATGTAAAGACCCAATAAAGTCATTGGATTGTACAATGATGTGTAATAATTGTTATTGTGATCAGTGAAACTTTACCTCATCTGAACTTAGAGGGCAAAGGTGCCCTTTGTGCAAACAAAAAATAGCTCATTTATGTGCAACAAAAGCCTTTTCCTTCAAAATATATAATACAATGCAATTACTTTATATAATTATGAGATGGGTCTCTATTTGAAAAAGACATTAATGTAGCTCTACAGGATAAATTACCCCATGTCGGCTATTTTGAAGGCACAGTGCCCCCACTTTTTGAAGTACCCCAAAAGTGCCCCTTTTACTTTTAAAGGTGCCCCTATTAATTTTTAAAAGTGCCCCTTCCCCTTCCCACCTCTGATAAGTGCCCCTTTTATTTTCACACGTACCCCTTTTCCTTCGACAAGTTACCATTTTCCTTTGCAATAAGTGTCCATTTTCCATTCTCATAAGTGCCCTTTTGCATCTCTAGTAAGTGCCCCTTTTCACGTTTGATGAGTGCCCCCTTCACCTCTGATAATTGCCCTATTCAAATCTGAGAGTTGCCCCTTTTACTTTGACAAGTACCCCCTTTTTTGTAAGAAGTGCCCCTTCCCCTTTTAATAACTACCCCTTTTTAACTCGGATAAGCGCACCTTTTCATCTATGAAAACAGTCCCTTTTCATTCTCATAGCCCCTTTCCATCTCTGGTAATGACTCTATTAAATTCTGAGAGGGACTCGTTTTACTTTGAGTGCCCCTATTCCTGCTGATAAGCGCTCTTTCCATCTTCAATAACTTCCCCTTTTGTGTTGACACGTGCCCCTTTTGCTTCCTAAAAAAATGCTCTTTTTCCTTCTTATAAGTGCCCCATCCCTTTCTCATAAATCCCCCTCCGCCTCGCGATAAATGCCCCTATAAAAAATCTGAGGTCGCAGTTGTGTCTTTTTTTTTTGGTGTTATCGGCATTTCAATCTTTTTGAGAATATTTACGCCTTTCAATTGTTTTTTTTTTTTTCTCGTATACTTTTTGTAAAATTCGTTCTCTTCATAAATCTCTAGTTTTTTAACATATTTTCATTTCTCTTTTCCCTTCTTCTTCTTCCCTTTCTTCCTCTTCCTCTTTTTTTTAATAGCTTAATCAGTGCAAAAACTACATCTTTTAAAGGAAAAAAACACAATCCAGATGGGGGTAAAAGAATTTTCTCATAATGGAAGACTGGAAAGACTTTTGATAAGTAACTTAATTATATCATTTATAAATGTGAGCGAGCTTTCGGGGAAATGGCTCGTGGTTGCTTTAAATTATGGACGTTTAATGATGAAAGTAAAAGGGGGGCACTTATCGAAAGGGATACGACACTGATTAGAAAAGAAAAGAAACACGTCTCAAACTACAAAGGGTAATTATCAGAGGTGAACATGGGGCACTTCTCACACCTGAAATGAGGCACTCACTAGGGATGAAAAAGAGCACTTATGAGAATGAATAACGAGCACTTATGATAAATGAAAATGTCCATTTGTTGAAGAAAAAGGAGCACCGATCAGATTTTTTAGGGGCATTTTTCGGAAGTGAATGGGGCTTTTATGCAAAAGGGGAAGTGGCTCTTATCAAAAAGAGAAAAAGAGGCACATGTTAAAATAAACGGGGCACTTATCAGAGATGAAAAGGGGTAATTATAAGAAGGGAAAGACGCACTTATAAGAAGGAAAAAGAGCATTTATTAGAAAGGAAAACGGGTAGTTTGTAGAGATTAAAAGAGCACTTATCAGGAGGGGAAGGGGCACTTGTCAAAGTAAAACGAGCATCTCTCAGATTTGAAAATGGGCAATTATCGGAGGTGAAGGGGCACTTATCTGAAGTGAAAAGGAGTAACTTCTCGTACCTGAAAAAGTTAATTTACCAGGGTTGAAAAGGGGCACTTATGAAAATTAAAAGGGGCATTTATAAAAAGGGGAAGGGGCTCTATTTCATAAAATTGGGGGGAATTATCATAAGGAAAAGGGGAACTTATTAGAAAAGAAAAGGCACATGTGAATATAAAATGAGCGCTTATCCGAGTTAAAAAGAGGTAGTTATTCAAAGAGCCAGTGGCTCTTCTTTCAAAGGAAAAAGGGCAATTATCGGAGGTGAAGGGGGCACTTATTAAAATGAAAAGGGGCATTTATAAAAAGGGGAAGCGGCTCTATTTTATAAAATTGGGGGGGGGGGGGGAACTTATCATAAGGAAAAGGGGAAATTATTAGAAAGGAAAAGGCACATGTGAATATAAAAGGAGCGCTTATCCGAGTTAAAAAAGAGATAGTTATTCAAAGAGCCAGTGGCTCTTCTTTGAAAGGAAAAAGGGCACTTGTCAAAGTAAAAGGGTCACCTCTCAACAAATTTAAAGATTTGTTAGGTCTCAATGCGAAAAATTACATCTTCTAAAGAGGAAAAAAACCCAATCCTGATAGGGTTATAAGAAAATTGCTTATAATGGAAGAATGAAAAGACCTTTGATAAGTAACATAATTATATCATCTATAAATGCGAACGAGCGAAGGGATCAAGCTTTGGGGGAAATCGCTCCCAGAGTAACTTATCGTACCTGGAAAGGGTCATTTACCAGAAATAAAAAGGGGGCATTTATGAAAAGGGGAAGGGGCTCTTTTTTAATGGGGCACTTGTCAAAAAGGAAAAATGTGAACATAAAAGGTGTGGTTACCCCTGTTTAACTCGGGTTAAACAAAGGTAGTTATTAAAAGGGGAAGGGGCACTTCTTACAAAAGAAAATGGGCACTTGTCAAAGTAAAATGAGCATCTCTCAGGTTCGAAAATTGGCAGTTATCGGAGGTGAAGGGGGCACTTGTCTGAAGTGAAAAGGAGTAACTTCTCGAACCTGGCAAGGGTCATTTACCAGAGATAAAAAGGGGGCATTTATGAGAAGGGGAAGGGGCTCTTTTTTAATGGGGCACTTGTCATAAGGAAAAGGGGCAAAACAAAAGGTGTGGTTACCTCTGTTTAACTCGGGTTAAACAGAGATAGTTATTAACAGGGGAAGGGACACTTCTCACAAAAAAAAAACGGGCACTTGTCAAAGTAAAAGGGTCACTTCCCTGTTAGGTCTCAATGCGAAAAATTACATCTTCTAAAGAGGAAAAACCCCAATCTTGATGGGGATATAAGAAAATTGCTAATAACGGAAGAATGAAAAGACCTTTGATAAGTAACATAATTATATCATCTATAAATGCGAGCGAGCATAGCGATCAAGCTTTGGGGGAAATCGCTCCTAGAGTAACTTCTCGTACCTGGAAAGGGTCATTTACCAGAAATAAAAGAGGGGCATTTATGAGAAGGGGAAGGGATTTTTAATGGGGCACTTGTCATAAGGAAAAGGGGCACTTATTGGAATGGAAAAGGGGCACATGTGAAAATAAATACCTCTGTTTAACTCGGGTTAAACAGAGGTAGTTATTAACAGGGGAAGGGGCACTTCTTACAAAAGAAAAGGGGCACTTGTCAAAGTAAAAGAGGCACCTCTCAGATTTGAATTGGGCAATTATCAGACGTGAAGGGGGCACTTACCAAAAATTAAAAGGGGCACTTCTCGTACCTAAAAAGGGGCACTTACTACAGATTAAAAAGAGCACTCATGATAACGGAAAAAGGGCACTTATGTGAATGGAAAATAGACACTTATAAATGGGCACTTGTCGACGGAAAAGGGGCACATGTCAATATAAAAGGGCACTCATCAGATGCAATAAGGATCTGGAATCATCTGCCAGGCTCAGCAGTTGCTCAGCTGCTCTACCCTCCATCAGAATGATGCAGCCCCCTGTTGGTTCCCACATCATATAAGCTTACTAGCTTGGTTTTTTACATACACTGGACTTAGCACATTTTACTGTAAATTAACGAGTGCTTGTCTACACACCATTCCTGCAATTCATGACACTCCTTGTAGTTACTCGCCTCACCTACCATCCCAGTATAGATTCCCGAGTGAGCTGCCAAAGGGATTACCCAACCAAGTACCAAGGTGAAAAGGGGAAGGGGCTCTTTTACAAAGTAATATGTGCACTTGCCAAATTAAAAGGGGCACTTTTGGAGTGCTTGAAAAAGTGTGGGGCAATGTGCCCCTTGCCCCCTCCTCGGAGGGCCGCCTCTGGCACTATGCCCCCTGCCCCACCCCCCCCCCACTTCCCGGGAGCGGCTCCTCTGCTACCACTTCTGCTACAGTCAAATGTGCTCACACCTGTACTGTGCCATCACAATGTGCACAGTATTACTGATCTGAGGGGAATACCCGGCCATTGCGTTTGAATTTCAACGGCCGTTTTGAATTTCAGTTTCAGTATTGGTCGTAGCCTACAGCATTTGAAACACAACATACAAGAAATTTATAGTTTCAATGTACTACGCTTGACATCCTGTGCATCGGAGTAACTTATGGTTAAGTTGAATTAGACTACAACTGTCTAATTCCAACAGTCTCAACGGGTTTCCATACCCCCAAATAGCAAATACTGAGAACATACATGCAGGTCTATGGATCATATACATGACAATTATATTTAATTCAACCTTGGACTTTAGTTAACAAGTCTACGTTTCAAATATTGTTTTCTTTCGATGACCTTCCAGGTCCTCGGTAGATTATGAAGACAATACCCCCAAAACTCAAAATTTTCTCCTGAACTCTATGAATAGAAAACCAAAATACACTCCATATTTTCCATTGAACTCTATACACTACGTACAGGTTCATTGATATTTTCTCTATCTCTCCTTCTCTTTTGTTCTGCCTTATTCTCCTCTCCCCCTCTCCCCTTCTTCAAGTGGAGTCTCTTCAATATATCTCAATCTCTATAGATACATTCCCTTATATTGCTCTAACTAATAACAACATAATTTATATATATATATATATATATATATATATATATATATATATATGTATATATATATTTATATTGATAATGGTTGCAAGGCGGTACTTGTGATATGTTGTTGTTAGACAACAAAAGGTACTTCAGGAAAGGAAAGCCTCTGAATATCTGAGGTTCGATCGTGGTGATGTGATTTTAACGGAGAGACAAATACGAAGCAGCATTGCATTCGATGGGTATAGTATCCAATGATCTATATTCACGGTTGGCCTGCTGGAAAGCTTCAACGTACGAACATTTTCTATGGCAAGGCGAAGAGCGTTGAGTTTCAACGCACTGACACAGGCACATGATCAAGATGGTAAGAAATATAGTAGAGGATTTGACTCCTTGCAGTAAAAATGAAAAGGACTTATACATCTAAAAAAAAAATAACTAATTAGGAAGACTTTCTCAAAAAAACGTATGATAATAAGTTCTTAAAAACGTACTTTAATGGCTTGACTGTAAAATATACTTGATGTGACCAATACAATTATTATGAAAGAAAGTAGTGATAAACGAAATGGCAATTTTTTCTTTCTAGCCCTTCACCTTCTATTGTTATTCTCTTTTCTTTCTTTTGTGGGCGTGGAACTTTCTTTTTTTTTGGGGGGGGGGGCAGCATCCCCAAGCCCCTGCAGTAGGCCAGTATGTCTAGTTCGTCCTCCTTCATTTACCTCCCTTCTGTTTTGGATAGCGAGAGAGATACAAAGAGAGAGAGAGAGAAAGAGAGAGAGAGAGAAGAGAGAGAAGAGAAAGAGAGAGAGAGAGAGTGATAAAGAGAGACAGAGTGAGACAGAGACAGAGAGATTGTTTATTGTACTATATATTGTAATACTTTATGGTTTATATATGTTATTTTAATTTTGGATATTTTGGTAGAAAAGCTAAATCAAATCAAAATATACATTTTATATATATATTATTATATATTATATATATATATTATATATATATATATATATATATATATATATATAAGAAGTTTAGAATTAAAAGTACCCTTTAACATGGTATTGTCTACTGATAATGAAAATATCCCACGTTTTGTTATTATTTGTTTATTATGATCAGGGAGGTGATCACCCCCTGTTATAATCATTTCCAAATCGAGGAGTGTGAGATTTTGAGAATGCATTGCATTTTGCAGATACACATTCTTAGGCTAACTAAGGATTGTCGCGACTCCTTCTATTCTCTTCCACATCCTTTTCTCTCTCTCTCTCTCTCTCCCTCCCTCTCTTTTTTTTCTCTCTCTCTCTCTCTCTCTCTCTCTCTCTCTCTATCTCTCTCATTTTCATATCTTTCTAGCATAATTTCGCTTTTTTGTTGTTGTTGTATTGGCTCTCACAGCATGTTTAAGAATGGAAATAGACATAACCACACCAATACATAATACAAAAGGAAAGGATTTTGGAAAATACAAATTTTATTGCGTTGCGTCATTGCTTAGGTATATACATTTGTCTGTTCAAGGAATACATGAATTCGATATTTAGACGATTGCAAGAGATATAATCTAAACTGTTCATTGTAATATCGAGATATTCTTAGCACGCTTCATTAAATTGCATAATTAAGAATCTGAATAGCATGAAAGAAATAATAATCACTTAGATAAAGAAGAAAATGTATGTATATGTATGTATGTACAGCTAAAAGTTCAAGAACACGAATATTACATTTCCAAATGGGATGATCGATGATTATAATGTATTTCATTTTACATCGGACCACTGGGCCCCGTCTTATACAGAGTTGATATTAATTGCAACATATATATGTACATAAGAGATGGGAGATTGCAAACTTGTGATTGATTTGGATCAATCGCAACTCTTTATAAGACGGGGCCCACTATCTCACAAACAGGCACTGGTAATATTTGCACTATTTACAAAAAAGAGAAGATTTGCTATAATATACATGTATGTACAACTTTAACGCTCTTACGATATATTACCAGCATTATACATAGGCCTATATACAATTTACAATTTGGAAAACTAAATAATATACATCTGGGGCCTGCTATGCTACGACAGCGCACGATACCACGAAAAAAAGGAGATATTGACACAAATTTTACTGCTTTCGACTTCTCTTAGCAATTGATTTTTGCTACATTTTCAATTACTACCCTTCACTTGATTTAATTCTTCATTGTGTATTTTTTCGTAAATCCGATGACTTAGCTTCTTTTTTGCCTTTTCTCACACGCTGGTGTGGACCGGTGAGTACGAGCTTCGAAGAATGGCCGTCTGTATTTTGGCAAGTTTCGGCTGATGAGTTGGTGATTTGAGAGGGTAGGTGGTTAACATTTTGAAATTAGAATATAATATACAAAATAAACATTGCTAATCCCTTGGCAAAATTAGTCTAATGGTCCGGCTTTGAGATTGACATTTCGTTTCTCTCAACTTCTTGTTTGAAACTATCAATTATATTTTTTTAAAATTTAAACTCTCTGAATGCTTCTTAAAATGATTTTTGCCTATCTATAAGATTTTCATGTATTCTAAAGTGGCAAGGAGAAATTATACTTGATTGTAAATGTTATATTGTATAATTTGTATCTTTAATATTGTATATCAATAAAGAAACCATGTGAAGGGTTAAACAGTATATGAATTTAGACACAACGGTTTGTGTTTTCATAACTATTATTCAAAACAAATTTTTCCTGCATGTTCTTTCCTTTGGTGTCAGATCTATGCCTCCACGATTTCTCTCGCGTTTTAATGGTGTGCGTTCATTAACGTCTCCTTCTTCTTCTTCCTCCGAAGATTCATATTCATCGTCTCTATTTGTATACTGGTTTCGCCCCCACCCCAGTTTCCTCGTCCGTTACTTTCAGAGTCTTTATTTGCTTTTATATCATTGGAACGCCTCTTTAACAAAACTACCCTGCGGATTATGAGAGAGACGATAACGATTATTACGACAAACGCTACAACAGCAACCACAATAATGATAACATTCAATTTACCATCTATTTTACTAGTTTCAGTTCTTCTAGTGACATCTTGATACGTCTGATCAGCAGCCATTAGGATGTTTCTATTCTGACCGTCATCATGGATGACGTTCAACGTAGAAGTTTCCATACTTTTAGCTACTATGTCCTCGCAAAAAGAAAAGTTCAAAGAACTTATATTGTGATTTGCTAGTCCATTTGGATTAGAACATATTGGATTATCAATCTTGACGTCTTCATCGTTGTTATGGAGAGTTGTTGATACCACTGACGCAATGGCTCCAGGCCACAGATGCAATCCCAAGGTTGCCTTCCAGAAACAGAATTTCAACATTGTTTGTCAAGATTTCCAAAGTCACATTGTCAGTTGACGTAGACTATTCCACGTAAGTCCAGACGAATGTTTGGAAGATTAAGAACATTGCCAATAGCACCAATCTGTTTCCAGAGAGATCAATGGTCATCAGATGATCCATATGCACAAAGAGATCAATGGTAAGGGATGAGAGAGAATTGTTGGACAGGTCTAGGTAAACTAACGATGACAGGTCTTTGAAGATATCTTCAGGAAGATCAAGGAGTTTGTTCATGCCGAGGAAGAGACGTTCAAGGTTCTTTAATTCTTGGAAGACGCCTGAAGTCAGTTGAGATAGGTGATTCTGGTAGAGGTCAATAACCTCTAGCTTCGGTACGAGTTGAAAGGTCCCGTTTTCTATTACTCGTAGCGAATTCCTACTCAGGTAGATGTTTCTGAGTCGATTTTCTGTTCCATTCAGCGCATATCCATCGAATGTTTGTAGATTGTTGTAGAGAAGCTTGATTGACTTGAGTTGAGGTGCCCCAATAAATGTATTTGCTTCGATCTGGAGGAGTAAGATAGAAAGGCCTTGTAAATAATCTCCAGCATAACAACTGATATGTTTACTGTACTAGAAACCTGTGAATAATTCAAGAGGGGGTGGGGGAGGGGGGGGGGGGGGGGGGGGGGGGGGGGGGGGGGGGAGACTAGGCAGTGAAGCCCACTTTGGGAGACCAATACCAATATTGAGAAGAACATCACCTCACATCGGATAGCGAGTATGTAAAGAAACACAGGACTATGAAAATGTTTCTTTATGTGCCCATTTGGTAATTAGAGGCGATTCCTCAATGTAAAGACCCAATAAAGTCATTGGATTGTACAATGATGTGTAATAATTGTTATTGTGATCAGTGAAACTTTACCTCATCTGAACTTAGAGGGCAAAGGTGCCCTTTGTGCAAACAAAAAATAGCTCATTTATGTGCAACAAAAGCCTTTTCCTTCAAAATATTAATACAATGCAATTACTTTATATAATTATGAGATGGGTCTCTATTTGAAAAAGACATTAATGTAGCTCTACAGGATAAATTACCCCATGTCGGCTATTTTGAAGTACCCCAAAGTGCCCCTTTACTTTATGGTGCCCCTATTAATTTTTAAAAGTGCCCCTTCCCCTTACCACCTCTGATAAGTGCCCCTTTTATTTTCACACGTACCCCTTTTCCTTCGACAAGTTACCATTTTCCTTTGCAATAAGTGTCCATTTTCCATTCTCATAAGTGCCCTTTTGTATCTCTAGTAAGTGCCCCTTTTTCACGTTTGATGAGTGCCCCCTTCACCTCTGATAATTGCCCTATTCAAATCTGAGAGTTGCCCCTTTTACTTTGACGTACCCCCTTTTTTGTAAGAAGTGCCCCTTCCCCTTTTAATAACTACCTCTTTTTAACTCGGATAAGCGCACCTTTTCATCTATGAAAACAGTCCCTTTTCATTCTCATAGCCCCTTTCCATCTCTGGTAATGACTCGATTAAATTCTGAGAGGGACTCGTTTTACTTTGAGTGCCCCTATTCCTGCTGATAAGCGCTCTTCCATCTTCAATAACTTCCCCTTTTGTGTTGACACGTGCCCCTTTTGCTTCCTAAAAAATGCTCTTTTTCCTTCTTATAAGTGCCCCATCCCTTTCTCATAAATCCCCCTCCACCTCGCGATAAATGCCCCTATAAAAAATCTGAGGTCGCAGTTGTGTTTTTTTTTTGGTGTTATCGGCATTTCAATCTTTTTGAGAATTTTACGCCTTTCAATTGTTTTTTCTTTTTTTTTCTCGTATACTTTTGGTAAAATTCGTTCTCTTCACAATCTCTAGTTTTTTTAACATATTTTCATTTCTCTTTTCCCTTCTTTTTCTTCCCTTTCTTCCTATTCCTCTTTTTTTTTTATAGCTTAATCAGTGCAAAAACTACATCTTTTAAAGGAAAAACACAATCCAGATGGGGGTAAAAGAATTTTTCTCATAATGGAAGACTGGAAAGACCTTTGATAAGTAACTTAATTATATCATCTATAAATGCGAGCGAGCTTTCGAAGGAATGGCTCGTGGTTGCTTTAAATTATGGACGTTTAATGATGAAAGTAAAAGGGGCACTTATCGAAAGGGATAAGACACTGATTAGAAAAGAAAAGAAGCACATGTCAACTACAAAGGGTAATTATCAGAGGTGAACATGGGGCACTTCTCACACCCAGAAATGAGGCACTCACTAGGGACGAAAAAGAGCACTTATGAGAATGAATAACGAGCACTTATGATAAATGAAAATGTCCATTTGTTGAAGAAAAGGAGCACCGATAAGATTTTTTTAGGGGCATTTATCGGAAGTGAACGGGGCTTTTATGCAAAAGGGGAAGTGGCTCTTATCAAAAGAGAAAGAGGCACATGTTAAATAAACGGGGCACTTATCAGAGATGAAAAGGGTAACTATAAGAAGGGGAAGACGCACTTTTAAGAAGGAAAAAGAGCATTTATTAGAAAAGAAAATGGGTAGTTTGTAGAGATGAAAGGGCACTTATCAGGAGGGGAAGGGGCACTTGTCAAAGTAAAACGAGCATCTCTCAGATTTGAAAATGGGCAATTATCGGAGGTGAAGGGGCACTTATCTGAAGTGAAAAGGAGTAACTTCTCGTACCTGGCAGGGTCATTTACCAGAGATAAAAAGGGGGCATTTATGAGAAGGGGAAGGGGCTCTTTTTTAATGGGGCACTTGTCATAAGGAAAGGGGCACTTATTGAATGAGAAAGGGGCACATGTAAAAATAAAAGGTGTGGTTACCCCTGTTTAACTCGGGTTAAACAGAGATAGTTATTAACAGGGGAAGGGACACTTCTTACAAAAAAAAACTGGCACTTGTCAAAGTAAAAGGGTCACTTCCCTGTTAGGTCTCAATGCGAAAAATTACATCTTCTAAAGAGGAAAAACCCCAATCTTGATGGGGATATAAGAAAATTGCTAATAACGGAAGAATGAAAAGACCTTTGATAAGTAACATAATTATATCATCTATAAATGCGAGTGAGCGTAGGGATCAAGCTTTGGGGAAATCGCTCCTAGAGTAACTTCTCGTACCTGGAAATGGTCATTTACCAGAAATCAAAAAAGGGGGCATTTATGAGAAGGGGAAGGGGCTCTTTTTTAATGGGGCACTTGTCATAAGGAAAAGGGGCACTTATTTGAATGGAAAAGGGGCACATGTGAAAATAAAAGTGTGGTTACCCCTGTTTAACTCGGGTTAAACAGAGGTAGTTATTAACAGGGGAAGGGGCACTTCTTACAAAAGAAAAGGGGCACTTGTCAAAGTAAAAGAGGCACCTCTCAGATTTGAATTGGGCAATTATCAGACGTGAAGGGGGCACTTACCGAAAATTAAAAGGGCACTTCTCGTACCTAAAAAGGGGCACTTACTAGAGATTAAAAAGAGCACTCATGATAATGGAAAAAGGGCACTTATGTGAATGGAAAATAGACGCTTATAAATGGGCACTTGTCGACGGAAAAGGGGCACATGTCAATATAACAAGGGCACTCATCAGATGCAATAAGGATCTGGAATCATCTGCCAGGCTCAGCAGTTGCTCAGCTGCTCTACCCTCCATCAGAATGATGCAGCCCCTTGTTGGTTCCCACATCATATAAGCTTACTAGCTTGGTTTTTACATACACTGGACTTAGCACATTTTACTGTAAATTAACAAGTGCTTTGTCCACACACCATTCCTGCAATTCATGACACTCCTTGTAGTTACTCGCCTCACCTCCCCATCCCAGTATAGATTCCCGAGTGAGCTGCCAAAGGGATTACCCAACCAAGTACCAAGGTGAAAAGGGGAAGGGCTCTTTTTTCCAAAGTAATATGTGCACTTGCCAAATTTAAAGGGGCACTTCCCTATGTAAAAAGGGGCACTTTTGGAGTGCTTGAAAAAGTGTGGGGGCAATGTGCCCCTTGCCGCCTCCTCGGAGGGCCGCCTCTGGCACTATGCTCCCTTGCCCCCCCCCTCCCACACTTCCCGGGAGCGGCTCCTCTGCTACCACTTCTGCTACAGTCAAATGTGCTCACACCTGTACTGTGCCATCACAATGTGCACAGTCAGGGGCGTACGCAGGGGGGGGGGGGAGGGGGGAGGTTTTGGGGGTTCAAACCCCCTCTTTGATATTTTTATGTGTGTAAACCCCCCTAAAAAACTAAACCCCCCCTTTGTTTTGTTTTGTTTGTTTTTTTAATTTAAAAAAAAAAAAAAAAAAAAAAAAAAAAATTATGCCAACGGCTACCGTAAAGTGACCTTACCCCCCCCCAACGAAAAAAAAAATGTCAAATTTTCAAATTTCGAGACCAAAAAAAAAAGTGTCCGCTTACCCCCCCCCCCCCCCCCCCCCCCCACTGAGCGACTTTTCGGCCGGCGCGATTTTCAAATTTTCGGGAGCAAAATATTTTGGGCCAGATTTTAAACACCCCCCCCCCCCCTTGAAAAAATCCTGCGTACGCCCCTGTGCACAGTATTACTGATCTGAGAGGAATCCCCGGCCATTGTGTTTGAATTTCAACGGCCGTTTTGAATTTCAGTTACCATTTCATTGGTCGTAGCCTACAGCATTTGAACACAACATACAAGAAATTTATAGTTTCAATGTACTACGCTTGACATCCTGTGCATCGGAGTAACTTATGGTTAAGTTGAATTAGACTACAACTGTCTTATTCCAACAGTCTCAACGGGTTTCCATACCCCCAAATAGCAAATAATGAAAACATACATGCAGGTCTATGGATCATATACATGACAATTATATTTAATTCAACCTTGGACTTTAGTTTACAAGTCTACGTTTCAAATATTTGTTTTCTTTTCGATGACCTTTCCAGGTCCTCGGTAGATTATGAAGACAATACCCCCAAAACTCAAAATTTCTCCTGAACTCTATGAAGTGAAAACCAAAATACACTCCATATTTTTCATTGAACTCTATTCGAGATGATTGCTCCGAGAGGGAGGCTAAAGTCTGCACCTGCTCTTCCAATGTTTCCACTGACAAAAGCTCAACAGGGGTGGAACGAGCATCTACGTCTCGTCATGGCAACATGCAGTTAAACTCTGTCTCTGGTACTGGCATACTACATCATAATCTTCAGGATCAATCTCATGAACTGAATAAGAGTAACATTAAACAGTTGGAAGGTGGTTCAGTTCCTCCGTTTAGAAACAGGGGCTTAAAATTTGCCCATTTGAATATTCATAGCTTAGTTGCTAAGATTGACGAACTTAGATTACTTCTGAGAAATGCATCATTTGATGTTATTGGTTTAAATGAAACATTTTGCGACTCCATGATTGATGATTCTGAATTGTATATAGATGATTATATTTTATTGCGTAGAGACCGTACGAGACATGGTGGTGGTGTGGCTGTATATATATCCAAGAGGTTCAATTATAAAAGAAGGGATGATTTGATTTCTTCTACTTTAGAATGCCTTTGGTTTGAATTGCATTATCCAAATAAGTCTCC